CCTCGAATAAAGTCCAGGATGCGTGCGTTGCGACGATCGGGAACGTGGGTTGAGGCGACCGGGTTCGCGTGAACACTGCACACACACCACACGCAGATTCGACGCCTATCGTTGGTGGTTTGTGGAAATCGATTCCGCAAATGAATCGATTCTATAAATGTTTATTTATTATTTTGTTATTTTTAAAATAATTTTTTTTCCGGAGGTTAAATAGGCACCGCTTAACGATCCAACTCTCCGCGAAAGCATAAACGCGAACTCGCCAGTCGAGCGAAGCAAAAAAAGTGGAGACGCGGGAATCGGCAATAATCGATTAACGGCAGCGGCGTTCGATTATCCGTATCGAAGGGGAGAATCGATTATCGGTATCGAAGGGGAAGAATCGATTACCGCTTCCGCCGACGTTACCGATGTGACTCGAGCCCTTGGCTCTGAAGCGGCATTGTTATTATATAGTTATTGTTATTATTATTGTTGTTATTATTGTTGTTATTGTTGTTATTATTGTTGTTATTATTGTTGTTATTGTTATTATATAGTTATTATTGTTGTTATTATTGTTATTGTTATTATATAGTTATTATTGTTATTATATAGTTATTATTGTTGTTATTATTGTTGTTATTGCTATTAATGTTGTTATTGTTGTTATTGTTATTATTGTTGTTATTGTTATTATTATTGTTGTTATTGTTATTATTGTTATAATTATTGTTGCTATTGTTATTATTGTTATGTTATTATTATTGTTATTATTTTTATTGTTATTGTTGTTATTATTGTTATTATTGTTGCTGACAGTAGCAGTATGGACAAACAATAGTAATAGGTGTTACCCTGTCTGGCAACTAAGACACCAAACAGAGACCTTTTGCAGGGAGAATCAAGTAGTGCATTAAGCACACACAGTCGTTGTGGTCAACATGCAAACGCATGCTCTCTCATAATGTATGGGCATTGTCTTTGAAACTGATGGGTCTACACCAGACAGACTTCTTACTGGCCAAGTCTCACCAGTGTCAGACCAGAGAACGCCGCCAAGAGGCTAACAGTACCAAGACAATGCACGCGTCAAAGCATTTATAGCACGGGGTGAGCAGCTACAAAATGGGACCTTTCGCATTATCGTATGAAAAAATAATAATAGGGTTTACCCTACTAATAGGGGTTCTCCCCTTTTTTTCTGGCAAAAAAACTGAAACCTTTTTTACAAGGAATCATGTCTGCATTAGCCACAATACTTGTGGTCAAAATGCAAACAAAAAACTCTGATAATATATGCATTGTCCTTGAAACTTATTGGTCCACACCAGAGAAGGGGAAAAACCCTATTATTATACTTTGGTACTGACAAAGGAGGTCTACTGAGCTTTTACCCTTTCTGGCAATGAAACAGGAGTTATGTTAAGATGTTCAAACACCAAACAGAAAGCTTTTTGCAAGGCATCAAGTACTGCATTAAGCACACATGCAGTACTTGTGGTGAACATTCATACAAACATGGCTCTTGATAGTATTTGGCATTGTCTTTGAAATTGAACGGCCTGCACCAGAGACACCACCAGCATTCGTTATGGTCAAGTCTCACCACCAGTGTCACCAGAGAACAGCGCCAAGGCAGAACGGTGTAGCCTTAGGCTGTCGGGGCAAGTGCTGTTAGCGAGTAGCACCTATGAAGGCCGGCACTGTGGCACACGAGAGGGCCAGGCCACCTTTGTCTCTTCCTAATGGCGATGAATTAACACCGCACCAGGTACTCAGTTGAGGCCGAGTCGACCTAGGGGGAGGCTCAGGACCGGTTCAGAAAATCGTCACCGGTGATGGTGGCCGTGAGCGGGAAACGAACTCGGGTGGCCGGGTTCGTCGCGCGCTAACCGCGGCACCACCGCTCTAAAGACAAATGCTGTGCATCCACATCATGTGTCGGCCACGCACTCACACGTACAGAACACGTAAACATCGACACACGGTGAGTGGTACAACAACAACCGCCATTCGCCACGAAGTGGTGGTGACGTCACAACGACGCTTGTGCCAGGCTAGGTGCACGCCGAGGCCACGTGAAGTGTCGAACGCCCGCTGGCAGGAGGTCACGGGGCAGACCCAGCTGGTGCCACAGGTCGACTGACTGAGATGACTGGCTGATGCACCACCTGTGCCCCCTACTGTGCCAACCTGCTGTGCTTTAGCCACCCGGCGCTCCGTTCGTTGTTGTGAGCGTCGCTCCTCCGCCCTCCGTTGTTGTTGGAGGGCGACTGCCTCCAACTGCCCAGTAGCAGCAGCGTCCTTCACGAGCCTCCTCCACAGAGGCCGATCTTGACACCGCTGGTACCAGTCATCGGCAAGTCCACTCAGCTCCACGTCCTCCTGTACCACATCACTCCATCTCTTCTCTAGCCCGTGCCGCGCCCGCTTAGCCCCCTCAATCCGGCCGAACAAAATCTGTTTCGGCATGCGGTGGCTGGGCATGCGGGCTACATGACCCAGCCAACGCAGCCTTGCCTGCCGGAGGAGCTCACCGATGGGACCTTGCCCAGATCTTTCAAGGATTTGTGAGCTCCTCACACAATCCAGCCTGGTTAAACCCAGGATGCGGATGGATTGTAGGCAGGCCAGTCTAAATGTTTCTAACCGTCGAAGATGTTCCATTAAGGGGGTCCACGTTTCGCAAGCGTAGAGAAGGGAGGGAATGACCGTGGCCGAGAAGACCTGAAGCTTAGTGCGGAGCGACAGACCAGGTAGCTTCAACACAGCGTTACGCAACCGATGAAAAGATATTTCCGCTCGACTGATTCGGAGTGAGACCTCTGCTGTCAAACTGGAGCCGGTCATAAGCACACTGCCCAGGTATGGGAAACTCTCCACTCTCTCCACAACTGCCCCATCACCGATTGGGAGTTGTGGGGGTGGAGTGTCCGATGGTACAAAATACCCAGGCAGGTGCTTAGTTTTGGTGGGGCTGATGGTAAGGCCCCATCTCTTAGTGGCACGCTCCAGTCTCAGCAGCAGCGTCTCCAACTCCTCCTCTGAATGAGCAGCTATTACCAAATCATCAGCATACATAACGTGGTTGAGCAATAGGAAGCCATCCCTTGACCGCACCCGGGCATCGATCAACCTCCCATTGTATCTGTACCAGATAGAAATTCCTCCGGTACAGCTATTGAATGCTTCATGAACTGCTTGGTCAAAATAGATGTTAAATAATGTGGGAGCCAGAGGACATCCCTGTCGCACCCCAAGGTGTACAGGGAATGGCTCTGACTCCCGGCCACGTAGTTTTACCCGGGCCCGCTCACCATCATGAAGGTCCTTAATGATCGTGAGCAGAGGGTCAGGGACTCCAAAAGCACGAAGAACAACCCAGAGCCCAGGCCTACTGATGGTATCATAGGCCTTGACCAAGTCAATAAAGCAGAGATGTTGGTCTTGTTGGAATTTCCTACACCTCTGCTGTAGCAGACGGACAGAAAATATGGCATCTGTGCAGGACCGCCCTATCCTGAACCACATTGGGGCTCCGCAAGCCTCTCCTCAGCGTGCCTGGCAAGGCGATGTTGAATAATCCTTGCCAGGAGTGAGGTGCCCCTGTAGTTGTTACAGTCTGTGCGGTCCCCCTTCTTAAAAAGGGGGACCACCAGGGCATCCTTCCAATCCTGCGGAACCCGTCCAGTGGTCCAGACTGTTGTTATGATGTCATATAGGGCAGTCTGTGCACAAACGCCACCCTCCCTCAGCATTTCGCTTGGGAGATCATCTCTGCCCGCTGCCTTCAGTACTTCCTCAACAGATGGCACACTTCAGACAGCCACTCACAGGGGGTGACTTCTTCCAATATTTGAGGCACCGCAGCCTCAGCAGGGTCATCCTCACTTTGTGCCACGATGTGTTCCTGGCTGAGGGATTTTCCCTCCCCCAGGACCTCATTGCAGAGCCTTAGGGCTCTCCGAACCTCTGAGCGAAAGGTGCGGTCAGCCTCCTCATTCGGCGAGTGGTACAAAGATCCCCCGTGTAGCCTTAACAGACTGTTGGGGCAAGTGCTGTTAGCGAGCACCTATGAAGGCCGGAACGGTACACGAGGGGGTGGGTGGCCAGCACCACGCCCGACCGCCTTTGTCTCCCCAGTGGCAATGTTTACTACACACCGAACCAGGTACTCATTTGAGGCTGAGTCGACCTAGGGGAGGCCCGGGACCGGTTCAGATAATCGTCACTGGTGTTGGCCGTGAGCGGGAATCGAACCCGGGTCACCAGGTTCATAGCGCAGCGTAGCGCTAACCGCTACACTACCGCTCCCCGCACACAAACACGGCTACACCCAGCTATATATACACACACACAGCTACACACTCACACAGCTACACACTCACACACACAGCTACACACACAGCTACACAGCTCGCACACACACAGCTACACACATCCTCAGATATACTCACACACACAGCTACACACTCACATCCTCAGATATACTCACACAGCTACACCTCACACACAGCTACACACTCACAGCTCGCTCGCACACAGCTACACACACACTCACATCTTCAGATATACTCACACACACAGCTACACACACTCACAGCTACACACTCACACAGCTACATACTCAAACACACAGCTACACACACACACAGCTACACACTCAGCCACACACTCACAGCTCGCTCACACACAGCTACACAGTCACATCCTCAGATATACTCACACACAGCTACTCACACACACATAGCTAGACACACAGCCACACACTCACATCCTCAGATATACTCACACACACAGCTACACACACAGCTACACACCCACACAGCTACACACTCAAACACACAGCTACACACTCACAGCCACACACAGCTCGCTCACACACAGCTACACACTCACATCCTCAGATATACTCACACACACACACACAGCTACACACACACAGCTACACACTCACAGCCACACACATCCTCAGATATACTCACACACACACACAGCTACACACACACACAGCTACACACACACACAGCTACACACTCGCACACAGCTACACACTCACACATCCTCAGATACACACACAGCTCACACACACAGCTACACACTCACACAGCTACACAGAGAGCCGCCACTCGGCGATGCTGTCCCAGGCGTTTGTGCTGTCGTCCCGGGGAGACCCTCTGCTCTACAGGGACTGTATCCTCATCACCATCATCACAACATCACCATCATCATCACAACATCACCATCATCATCACAATATCACCATCATCACAATATCACCATCACAACATCACCATCATCATCACAACATCACCATCATCATCACAATATCACCATCATCACATCACCATCACAATATCACCATCATCATCACAATATCACCATCATCACAATATCACCATCATCATCATCACAATATCGACATTATCAATGTCACTACCGCTGTTACTACACCATCATTGGTCACATCAGCTGTAGATGCTTAAGGATCTCTCCATCTACGGGGCGTTTCGCCTCTGATGTTACATGTACAGTATATGTTGTGATGTTACATGTATATCGTGTGTGTTTGAGATGTGTACCGTGTGTGTGCTGAATACAGTGTGATGTGCTTCACACTTCACGTGGCCTTAACGTGCACCTAGCCTGGCACAAGCGCCGTGGTGACGTCACCGCCACTTAGTGACGAATGGCGCTTGTTGTTGTTGTGCAGCCTGTGTGTTAAACGCGCTGCGTGTTATGTACGTTGAACTTCTTTCGCACCGTACGTAGCCAGCCGTGCCAATCGGAAGTGTAATGTACAGTGCGCAATGTGTACTGTACACGGGGGGGCACAGTACGGTGTACAGTACACGGCGTACTGTATACACGTGCAACACGCACGTGTGTACAGTCTACACGTGTGCGCTGTACTGTATGTCACGACCCCGGCCACTTGTGTTCGCATAGCCGTCAATACCGACGGTTTACCCCGTAGTCTTGTACAGGGAAATTGAGTTGTTCAGGTCCACACTGCGTGCAGCCCGTTACACTACGGGTAAAATGTGATTTTGTCTGTGTTTGTCCCTTGGGATGGGACTTTGTAGGATGAACGTTGAGATTTGTAAGGGGCACGGGGTGACCAACAAGATCTGAATGGGTCTGTAATAAAGGTCGGCCCCGATAAGGGGTGGAAAGGCGTGTGCTCGATTCCCAGCCACGGATCTCATCAGTGGCGGCGATTGATACTTGAAACGGGGTCAGGGTTCTCCCCAAGAGCTGGTCCAGTGTGTAAACATCAGCTACTAGGAAGACAAAAGCGGCCCCCCGGGGGAATGGTTCTAGGCCACACCGCCCTATCAGTGCCCCGTTCTGGCCTTAATAGGTGGTCGCTGAAAACACTTTTCCCTAACACTCTGTGTAGGCTGCACAAAAGGGGGCTATTCGTATTTAATTTGTGTGTCCATTGAGATCGACTTTTGTTCTACGTGACCTCCACGTGCGACACACATAACGTGGCTTGGTCAGCTGATCCCAAGATTTGTACTGCCTTGTCCGACCACGTCCAACGGGATTAAACTGAATGTGTTCAAAACAGACTTTTGGATCCCTTCAGACTTTTGATCCAGATGTGCCCGATTTTAAGACGTTGCCCGCGTAGGGCCCAGCGTTCAAAGGAAGGGCCGAGCAATCTTGATTTGAAGCTTTCGTGACTGCAGGAATCGTTGGTTCTTTCGGTGAAGTTGCGTGACTTTACCCGAAAGAACAAAAGAGTAAGGGCCAAGCAGATTAATGTTTGAAGGAGCCAGAGCTGGGGTTGTATGATTGATGGAACAGCAATGACAGTCCAGTTCACCCGAACTCTGCCATGGCCACTTGATGTTTTTTTAAGCTCCATTGTGTCGCCTCCTGTCATGTTAAAAACATTTCATGGCGTTGTCATGAATGGGCATTGGAGAAAAAAAATGCTGTACCAGTTCATTACATTAAAAAGTAATTGGGACAAAAAAGGCAGGGAGGCATTACTTTTTGGGTTAACGCTCAGAATGTTTTCTTTTGGCAGACATCCACCGACATCTCCATCCACCAACATTGGGGGAAATTGCAAAGATGATTTTTACTTGACAATTTTTTTGAGAAGTTAATCTGTGCAATATGTGCGTGTGTTCATCGCATGTTTGCAGTGTTGTTTAGGGCGTCCGTGAATGTACAACGACCCATGACAATGCCAGAAACTATGCTTCTTTTCAAGAATTGTATTCCGTGTAAATGTGATGGTTGATGATCATGATGAGTTTTTTAAGTTCCTTAACCACCTGATTGACAGATGTAGGTAATGGGCACGCGGATCATTTGTACGAGAGAATGTGCCCTCTGAACGAGAGCGAGCAGCCCGTTGTTAAGGTAATGGCTACTCCTGCAACATCCACTGTGATACTCTTTGGTTCTTTCGGTAAAGTCACGTAGGTATAAAATAAATTAAATCGCGACGTTAGCGGGGCTGGGAGTGGGAGGCTGACGAAGACTGGAGATGCGGATATGAAGGCAACACCATAAAGCCGTTAAAGTTTTAACTGGTTAATAACATCCTTCCAATGATTGCTCAATTTGTATCCATCTTCTCGGTTGAAGTTATGTCTATATTTATATATCTGGATGGCTTCATGAACAAACCTTTGATAGTAGCCTGAAGGTTTGCAGAGTACCTTGCTCTCGGAAAAAAACAATATAATGCGAGCCCACAGCTTTATAGCAATGGTCAGCCATGGCGGAGGTATTAGTTCTGCCGTGTTTCAGATCTGACTTGTGCTCGCGAACACGGTCCGAGATATGTCGTTTCGTTTCCCCAATGTAACACCCACCACAGGTGCAACTTAGTTTGTAGACTCCAGGATATTGCATGTCAGGAATGACATCCTACTCATCAAGTCTAATACTGTACTGGAATAACCTCCGATTAGCGCGGTTGGATGCGTACGGTGCGAAAGAAGTTCAACTTACCACACATCATCAACCACGATCGATCGACTGCTGGATGAAGCCCTTACCAGGCTGCCACCATCCCTGATGGTCTTTGCAGTGCCACATTTTATTGCTCCATCTGCATGGTGAATGTGCTCTTGGGGTGCTTCTTCCTCTGCCTGCAGCCTTGTCGAAAGTTCCCAAGATTGTAATGTACAGTCATTTATCCAGTAAAAGCCTCACTGAGTACGTTTTTTCAAATGGTCCTATTAAAGTATTTGCTGTTGCCAATTCCATTTTCCAGAGTGTTTTGCACTTGGGATGAGGCCCGAGTTACCGAGGAAAACCCGCATAGCATTTACAGGTCAGGCGCAGATCAGGTCACACAGTCCAATTGTTGTTCTGCTGTCTCCTGGCTCCGGCTGTCGGATTGACGACCATGTGAGTGACGGACGTTTCTCTGTAGCAGGGCAAGTGGGAAACTGCAGCGCTGTAGTGTGAGGATTCAAACAGGCAATTGGATGGATCTTGGAAGTAGTTCCATGATATCACCTTCCGTGGGCTGTTCTCTAATGCTGGGTAATGCTCTGCTCTATGAGTGTTTCCGAATGGACACGATTCTGACCAGAGTGTGAACATTTACATGAATATGTGTGCAATTCATTTACCTGTAATTTCTTTTTCAGGTACATGATGGGCTGTGCTATGTGCACATGCGGCATAACGGACTTTACTTTGGTTTAACCTGCAAGCCCCAGGCCTCCCCATTTATTCTGATACAATTCCTTAACCGGTACGTACACACAGGACACGCGCAATGATTCACACCCACATGCGATTCAATTAGTGCTGTCGATCCACGGTTCACAGCGCGAATTAAAAAATCCATTCCGTTTTGTCTTGTTTTTACTTTCTGGCTTGTATTGTCTTGTTTGTTTCATTAGCCCGATGGTTACGATATAATTTACATACAGTTGGCTTGGTACCCTAAATAAAGTATTGAATTAGATTCTCGCACACTTGATCCAACGCATGTATTGTGAGCAGAGAGCTTCCCCAGAAGATGACATAACAGGACTACTTCTGGAAATCTTTGAGTGTATGCACCTTCTTATGAAGCTACGAGTCTCTCTGCGAGTCATTGGTGACAATGGTGACAGGGCTGAGACCATCAGCTCCCAACACTTGACAACCCCAGGTTCATTACGTGTGGCTGAAACACAGATTTGAACACAGGATCTTAGCTGTGTGTCAACTTAGGTATTTAACATGGTGTTAGCGTCATGTACCCCTGGGTGCTTCAAAAACAGTATTTTATATACCCTATGGTTGTTTCGGTAAAGTCACGTAGGTAGAAAAAATAATAGATCATGACGTTTCGATCGCCACACAAGAAATCGTCCTCAGGTGGGGATTCCTGCAGTCATGAAAGCTTCAAATCAGTATTTTATTTGTTTGACCTGACAATGGAGATACCATTTTTTCGTATGCATGTTGAACTTCTTTCGCACCGTACATAGCCAATCTTGCAAAACGGAGGTGTTAGGGAAGGACAACAAATTCAACACAACAGGCAGTTCAAAAGAAATTAGTTTTCAATCTGTATTTAAAAGTGCAAAGCTCCAGTGGCGTCCTAATATCGGAAGGACGAGCGTTCCAGACGGCCGCAAAAGTGCATCTGAAAGTGCGCGATGCAGTGACCTCCTTTGTTCGTGTGTAGGTTTGCTGCAATAGTCAAAGACTACTGTGGATCTGTTTCTGAAGAGGCCATCAGGCAGAACCTTCCACTATTGTATGAGCTTCTAGAAGAAATCCTGGTAAGTATCAAAATAAAAACTGTGATTGCCATAGAGATTGTGAAAATAATTTATGGCAATAATTGTTCTGTGAAATTAGTGTCGAGTTGAAAAACGGCTTTATTCAGGACAAACTTTCAAGTACAGAACAGCTTAAGACTTATATTATATCCATTTGCAGTGCTTTGTCAGTCCACTGCTAGATGAAGGCCTCCCCACGCAGTGTTGGTTTGTTTGAGAAGACTTGACCACGCTGGTGAGTGCCCAGGATCGGTTCAGATATCGCTCGCCACTCATGTTAGCCATTGCTGGATATCGAACTCGGGTCGTTGAGTTCATAGTCAAGCATGCAAACCGCTGTGCCACGTTCCACCCTTATTTTAATGAGACAAGCGGGAAAGGCAGCCGCATGGTTAACCAGTGCTCAAATTATCCTCCAAAGCTTTTTTTTTATTCGTTAAGGTGCCGTCGGCCAATGAATGAGTGTCAACACGTGGGAGGAAACCGATAAGTCCAAAGAGAAAACCAGCAAAATGGGATGGAGCTTTTTGGACTCACACCAGAGCTAAATTCATTATCTTCCAGTAGCGACTTCAGAGACGAGTGGCTGTGACGCTGATGCGAGAGCTGTGCCGTGCTGCTGACACTGTGGCTTTTGCCTCTTGTTGAAGGACTTTGGAGTGGTACAGACTACACGTTTGGACGTCCTGAGGAACTACGTGCAGAGCGAAGCCGTCAACACCCAACCGAGCAGCCTGTTTGACATGAGTACCATCGGACTGGTACACACACACATACACGTGTACATGTGTCCACACACGCGCCACTTTGCATTTGGAAGGATTGTGCTCCGATTAACATATTAATTGTGTATATTCGGCCATGGTTAACATCAGGGGCAGGTTTATCGGAACCTGTCTTGGGCCTCCCCTAGGCCGACCCAGCCTTAAATGAGTAGTGTGCTGTCTAAAACATCAATGCTTGCTTGGGAGACAAAGCTGGTCAGGTTGTGGAGCGACTCACACCACCACCAGCATCACATGTGCTGCACTGACTCTATAATCAGTGCTCTCTAGCAGCACTTGTTGCAAGAGTCTGTGTGGCTTATACGGGGGTGATCTTTATCATTTCTGCGTGTCTCTCTTTGTCTTTGTAGTTTGGAGCAGACACACAACAAAAAACCTTGGTCCCAGCATCAGCTTCGATACGCTCACTGTCTCATCAGGTACATCATCCGAGAGGAACTGCGTGTTTTTTTTTGCGCGCGCACCATTGCGTGCCGGTTTTCCACGTGAAATGTGTTTCCATAAGAAGGGTAAATTGGTATCGTGGTTGTGCGTTGGTTAGTGCAGTGTTCATCACGGCGGCCCCCTGACAATACACAACATGTGAAAACACCCCCTTGTAGGTGGTGTGTCAGCCCTCACACTGACGATGTCTTATCGGCGAAAGTGCCCCCCCCCCCCCCCCCCCCCCCCACTCTGGGGTTAGTGCATTGCAGTATTAATCCGAAGAGCTCTTTTAAGTTTGATTCCCGATAACAGCTAACACCAGCGGTGAGTGATATTTAAACCTGAACCTGTCCTGGGCCCCCACTAAGCTAGTGTGGTATAGTATGGTCATCTATGTGCTATGAAGATGGACCATTGCCCAAAACGTCACGTGTTATATATTTTTCTTATTAAGGCAGTCTTGTTGATGGAATGTGAGTGTTCTTTTTGCTCGCGTGGTAAAGTACAATCAAACAACCCCCAAGATTGACATGGTGTGTGAATGCCTGCATTCAGCAATGGACGGACACATCTCTGCAGTATAGAAAATGAAGTTGTGTTTAAAACACGACCGCCAACTGGACAACCCCTCAAGTGCATGTGTTTAACATTGAGCAGTCCCACAGTGCACTGCGTGTCATAACACGGCCAGAGTTCTTGTACCGTGGTGGCAGTTTATGCTCTTTACCCAGGAGAGCCTCTCTGAGTTTCACGACTCTTTTACAGGAGAGTCCTGCCACGTTTTTCACAATCAAGGGCGATGGTTGCTACGTATAATTCCCCTATTGAGTCATTTGCAGGGCAAGTTTTCAAAATGTGACAAATTTGGACGATGACGCCGGCACACAGCGGCCAACTCTTGTCAATGATGTCACGGGATCATTAGCGTCGACTGTGAAGCAGGCGGCCTGTCGCATATTCTTAAGGGGAATACCACGCCGCAGTATGAACCAGGGCGGCCGCTGGATTCGAACCATGAGGCTCTGCAACAAGCGGCGAATGCACTCCCGTAAGGTCATGCCATCGCCGCTTGTGCTTGTAGGCTGGCTGAAGAGTGGCAGATTATTGGATTATTGTTTATGCCTTGTGACAGCCTCACAAGTGAGTCAAGTGGTGGAAATATCATCATCTGACAGTTGTGGAATGCAACATCCAATATTTTTTTTGGCTCCGTGTTCTGTTATGGCTATGCCAATACAGAAGTGATCCAATGGCCCTTACTGACAGCACTGAGTTACAGGCATGCACATTGATTTGGCATTGACATTTTCCAGCATCCTAGCTACACGAAGAGCTATCTGCAATTACTTTCACAAATGAACTCAACCCGACGTTCGAAATTGTTGATTCATTGCAGTTGGGGAATTAATGTTCTCCGCTTTTGTGCTCAGAGCAAAACCAACGAGATATTCGTGGACGTTTTGGAGAGGCTAACAGTGCTCATCGGTGCAAATGTGCGTACCAACACACACACACACACACACGTTTGTATGCGAGCACACACGCACACATGCACACGTATGTGAACACAGCCGTATGCACACCCCAGCACACGTATGTGTATGCTCAGACGCCGGAAGAGACATTGCTGCCGCCACTCTCACCGTCTGGTTAGAGCACGCCAATTTGTTCAAACGCTTTGCCTGCGTGTTTCTCAGTGATGCAGTGTGTGTCCCAACAGGGGAATGTGGTTCAAGCAGAGCTCAATGGTGATATCAATTTGAAGAGCTTCGTGAACGGCTGTTCAGGTACCGAACGCACACCGGGTGGCTCGAACGGTGACGCGGGGGGCTCCAGGTGGCCCCTTCTGGTTTTCGAGGGGCTCCCACTGCCTGATGACGTCAAGGGGGGAGGGCACCCCCTGCTATTGCCCCCCCCCTTTCACGCACCACGCAAGTCGTGTGCGGTGCTCCTGTAGGGTCGCACGGGGTTTCTCAAACTCCGGCCCTCGCGACTCACCTCGGCCTGCCTTTCCGCCTTCACGAGTCTTCTCCGTTCAAATACAAATAAAATAATGACATGCTGCACGCGGCGATAGCTTGTGAACGTGACTTACCCGATGTAGGGAGCGCTCGGATCTTTATTTGATTCGGTGGTCTCTGCGTCACGCGGGACGCAGGCGCACACAACAACAGCAGTTGCCATTCGCCACTGAGTGACAGTGATGACACCATGGCACTTGTGCCAGGCTAATTGCACTTTCAGACCATGTGAAGTATGGATGGCTCACTGGCAGGAAGTTCTAAACGTTTTTTGGTTTGGCCATGTTTTTGTTTATTGTAGTACGGAGTTAGACTGATGGCCTTAATCTAAGTTTTCTTGTTGTTGTTGTTGTTTGACTTGCATCCCACTGGGATTTTTACACACAGCGTTGGTGTACGGTGCTATTTCAGGAATATTTTGATGTTTTTTTCCTGGATTTTCTGTTTGCACAGTCACAAAGTCACTTTAAGATGTTTTCTTGTTCATGTTTTAGTTTTTTTGTTTGTTGCGGTTGCACCCGATTCAAGAGCCGAATGGCTCACAGGGCTATACCAAATAAATGAAACTAAACTAAACAAAGCTACAGGACAGACCCAGGTGGTATGAGTTGAGTGAGATGACTGGCAGATGTGAACACACACAACATATGTAACTTAATTTGAGTCACAGCACCCTGCACGTCACATGGAACACACATACACGCGCGATCTCTATCTTGAGTTCAATGAGGACTCTTTGATTAAAATTAAGATGAAACAAGTATGCATTGTGTGTGTTTTGTCACGTGGCTTTGCTGTGTTTTCAGAAATCTTCATGACGTTCAACCATGATCTTGCCATAGGATCATCACAGAATAGAGGTGAGAGGTGTGCGAGTGTGACCGGGCCTGTGGTGTGTGGAATGAAAACGACTTCACCGCCATCAAATACAAAGTGCTTGCCGCAAATGAAGCCACAATACCTCGCTGATCTCGTCAAGGAGCGAAAACCATCACGCAAACTCCGGTGGTCATCCTCGCAGCAGCAGCGGCTTTTTGCTGGCCATCGAACAATGATGGCCACCGGATCTCGCGCTTTCAGATGCGCTTCTGTGTCCGCCTGGAACGCTCTTCCTTCCGATATTAGGAAGCCACTTGAGCTAGGCACTTTTAAATCATCATCTAGAATGAAAACTCCTTTGTTTAAAACCGATTTTTGTGTTTGTTGTCCTTTCCCCGCACCTCCGATTAACACAGTTGGCTACGTACAGTGCGAAAGAAGTTCAACGTGCAATACATACATTCCTTGGGCTCGCTCCAGCAGTAATTAATACACGCGACAGATTCTGTATCTGCCTTGCGCCTCTCTCTCTGTGTTCAGGCTACGGCGGTGCCGTGCGATTGGATGAGTGCCGCTTCCACGCCAACGTGAACGTTACCGACTTTGAAACCAAACGTGCAATCAGAGTGAGCCCGGGCCCTGGTGAGGTAATGCTCGCGTGATTACGTACGCAGACACGCACCTGAAAATGTAATATATTTATCCACGATTTTCGACACTCTTTGATCGCGAAGGTCCTGCAGTGGAAGTGAGTGGGAGTAAACCGGAGTACCCAGAGAAAACTCGCGCATACGAGGAGACAGTGCTCAAAGGTTCAAGAACTCACATGCCCCTCTGCCATCTCCTTCCCAACTCGTAGTCCGGGGGGGTGTTTGTGAGTTTCAAAAAATCTCCACCATCAACAAAACCCTTGCTTTAAGAGTGCTGGGATCACGGGCGCCGTGCCATGTCACCCCTCCCCAGAGGAAAGGCTGCGTAAGTGCACGGTCAAGCACTCAACGCAACCTCGGCTCTTTGGCAGTCGGCGCATTTGCCGTGGATTGCGGCGACTTCTGTCGTTTGAGAGGGACGGGGTTTGGTTAATTCTGAACCCACCTCACGACCTCACCAAAGCAGTTTGGTGACAGTGTAAAGTCTTATCTCTCGATGCCGCTACAGTAATGCTCGGGTTAGTTAACATGAGGGAGAGCGAGAGAATAACAGACAACAATCGTGCTTATCTTTGATTCACGGCCATGGCTAATCATCGGTAGCAAGTGACATCTGAACCTGATCCTTCTTCCCCAACCCACACTGACTAGCGTGGTGAGGTATGGTCAACCAATCCCCACAACCATCACAGCGTTGTGAGGCCTTCACCTTGTAGTGGATTGACAAAGGGCTGTACGTCGTCATTATAATCATTCGTTATAGCTCTAAAGACAAAACAGAGGGAAATTCACAAGGATGATTTCACGTACATAATAGGCAACGTCTATGCAACGTGTAATTAAAGTAAACACAAGTGGAAGGTTGTGACTGTGGCCACACGGTAAGGTTCTTCCAGACTTTAGGAGCCGAAAGAAGGGAGGTTGTTGTGGAGCGGAGAAAGCACGAGGGAAGCACTAGAGACGAGTTCCGCTAACGAGATGCATCGCCACAAGGCAATGCATGTCATTTGTGCATACGCATGTTGACCTTCTTCCGCAGCGTACGTAGCCAACCGTGCTAATCGGAGGTGCGGCGGCCTGGGGGGTGGTGGAGAACAACAAACCCAACTCGCAAAAAGCAGTTGTAAAGAAAAGAGTTTTCCATGGAGATGATTTCAAAGTGCCATAGCTCGAGTCATCGTTGTGTGACCGCAGATGACCTTGATGCAGTACACGGTGCTTGACGACTTCCCAACGCCGCTGCCTTTCAGGCTGTTCCCAACAGTGGAAGTGCAGCCTGATAAGAGGTACGTGCCTACCATCATCATCGTCGTCGCCGTCATCAAACTTCACCCCTGATGTGTTCCCTTCCACTGGCATTGTCATTGGTTTCACTGTTAATTATTATATTGTTAATATGATTGCGTTGCTCGGGAAAGTCTCACTGAGTCTTAAAGCTCTTCTTTTAGGAGGGTACTGCCAAATTTTGCAGTAGGGAGCGACTTTGCTGATGTGTATGATCCCAATTGAGTAATTTTCTGGTAATTTTTCAGAATGGGGATGTTTATCCGATACCAGTTACTGTGTACATTTCTTTATAGCTATGGGAGGAAATCAGAGAACCCGGGGGAAACCCACGCAGAACAAGAGGAAAATCTAGAACCCAGGTCCTTATTGCCGTGGGGCACAGGTGTTAGTTACCACTGCGCCTTCCTGCCGCTGATATTCGCAGGATTCTTGTTCAGTGGGATACACCCGTACCGTCACAGTGTGCCACCGAGTCAGGAATTGAACCCAGCTCCTTATTGCCGCGAGGCACAGGTGTTACCACCCTGCCGCCGACATTCACGGGATTCCTGTTCAGTGGGATCGTTCTGGCCGACATGACCATACCATCGCAGTGTGCGCTCTTCAGTTCTGTTACCGTTCGTTCTGCTCTCCGAATGCAAGTTGAGCTTTTGTGCACTGCTGCCGATGCGGGGGTCCCTTCACTGTGACTGCCCGTCTGTGTTCGCAGTCGACTGTTGGTGTGTTTGAAGCTGCGTTGTGACCTCTCACCGAGAAGGTATTACGAGACGTGGCACGGACATCGCCGTCCTTACGCGAACACGCGGCTCACGCGCGCCTTGGCATTTGCGTGAGGCTCGGTTACAAATGATGGCAAAAAAATAACAACAGGCTTTAAACCTTTACCGGCAATAATACAGGCGGCGTTCAGATGTTCAAACACCAAGTAGACACACCTGTCGCAAGGCAACAAGTCTGCATTAACCACACTTCTTGCTTGTGGTACAACATGCAAACAAACATGCTTTGATAATAATGTGTGCATTGTCTTTTAAACTGATTGGCCTACACCAGAGACGGCCTCCTTTATGTCCTTTTCTCACTGCCGGTGTGAGACCAGGGAACGCCAAAAGGTGAACGCCACAAAGGCAATGCAAAATATCAGAGCATGAATAGCTCGGGTTGAGCAGTTGTATCTAAGGGTAAAAGGCCTATTGTTTTTTCACGAGTCACAAATGTTTTGTAGTTGTCCTGTGGATTGTCGGCTGGTGCAGAAGAAGTGCTCTACCAGTGTCTAATCCATTCACACGCCGGAGGTGCAAGCACAATAGCTTAACCACCACTCTGCAATGTTGCAATTTGGTTGAGTCAACGCGTAGAATTTATCGTAATCGTTTAACGATCGACATTTACAGTGCTCTTTCAGTCCATTGCTGGATGAACATCTACCCGCGTTCTGTCGGTCGTGGAGGTTGTTTGACCGTACTTCACCACGCCGGTCAATGCAGGTTGATGAAGTGGGGAAGGCCCCGGACTGGTTAAGACATCAATCTCCACTGGTGTGAATTGTGGCCCAGAAATTTGACTTCGGGTGGCTCGGTTAATGATTCGGTGTGCTATCCACTGCAAAGTTCTGTTAGCGAGTAACACATATGAAGGCCGGCATGGTGCACGAGGGGGTGGTGGCCAGCACTACGCCCAACCGCCTTTGTCTCCCTAGTGGCGAAGTTTACACACCGCACCAGGTACTCATTTGAGGCTGAGTCTATCTAGGGGAGGCCCACGACTGGTTCAGATCATTGTCAATGGTGTTGGCCGTGAGTGGGAATCGAACTCTGGTCGCTGGGTTCGTAGCGGACTACCCACTGCAAAGATGTAAATCCCCCGTGTAGCTTTAACAGATTGTTGGGGCAAGTGCTGTTAGTGAGCACCTATGAAGGCCGGAACGGTACACGAGGGGGTGGATGGCCAGCACCACGCCCGACCGCCTTTGTCTCCCTTTTGGTGATGTTTATTACACACCGCACCAGGTACTGTATTCATTTGAGGCAGAGTCGACCTAGGGGGGGGCCTAGGACCGGTTCAGGCAATCGTTACTCCCACATACATTTTCCGTTTGATGAAGTCACATTTAGGTCATAGAATCAGTTCCCTTGTGTTTTTATTTAGTTTTTATATCTAACTTTTAATATCTGTCTCATGATCTGTCTCATGCTTTCCCGTTTTTTTTCCAGTAGCATTAACGTGTAACATTCGCTTATAATTTTCATTCATCGTAAACAATCAATAGTCACACACGTGGCTTGACACCGTGTGTCATGAGCGCAAGAATAGATTATATATGGCGATGGACTCGGGCATATTTACCATTCACCGTACAAAAACCACACCGATTTATTCAAACATTCACTGAGCATTTATTCGTTTACCAATGTACGTCTGTTTCTCTATTGAGTAATTGCTTTGGGTCCCTGCAGTGTAGTTGGTTTGTAGTAAATCAACACACACCAGGTCGTTAAGCCTGCACACTGCATAAATGTGGGACTTGGGATGAATCATTGTTTTTTTTCTTCAAAATAACATTTTAATAATTCATAATAAAGGTTTTTTGGTTAGATCGCGTTATTTATAAATGTGTCGTAACCCTCCACCACCCGACACGGCCAATCAGCAAAAAAAGTGTCACGTTGACAAAAGACAATTAGTTCACTACTTTAGCCCACCGGTGTGTTGAAGAGTGAATCCACAACATTTACAGTTTGACTCTTCAACACACCGGTGGGCTAAAGTAGTGAACTAATTGTCTTTTGTCAACGTGACACTTTTTTTGCTGATTGGCCGTGTCGGGTGGTGGAGGGTTACGAAACATTTATAAATAACGCGATCTAACCCAAAAACCTTTATTATGAATAATATTGGTCGCGAAAGCCTACGTGTTAAACTAACATTTTAATACCGTGCAATTGTACGCTGCATAAGGTAACAATACATGTTCGAGAGCGGAAGGTGTAGGGTATACAGCTTCGTTACGAAACTATAACTAAACCATTTTTTTATTTTAACAGGTGAGATCCTGGCTCTCATGAATGATAGCTCAGCAAAGTGGCTCATCATCATCGTTGTGTGTTGCAATCTTTAGCAGCCAAATCCTCTCAACGCGTGATGTTGATTCTAAACACGGAGGGGAAAAACCGGAGGATGCGGAGAAAAATCCAAGCGGCCATGGGGAGAGAGACACCGCAAACTCCAAATAGGCAGACGTCAAGGTTTGGGATTGAACCCACAAGCTCCTGTATACCAGGCGAGGTAGTTAAGATGAGAAAATGGGATGGTCATAAGGTGTTATGGACTTTATTATCTTGCGTATGTATGTTATTTCTGGAAGTGGGTAAACAGGTGGAGGAGTGGTTATCTCACTGCACTCTGAACTGGATAACCTGAGTTTGATTCTTGGAAATGGCGAGTATCAGTGGCGAGTGATGTATGAACCGGTCCTGAGCATCCTCCCCCCCCCCCGCCATCACACTGTTAGCAACCCATACTGACCAGCGTGGTGAAGTATGGTCAGGCAATCTCCATCACTGACACGGTGTGGGGATGCCTTCATCTAGAAGTAAATTGGCAATGGGCTGTGCATTGCGGTATTTACAACATTATCATACAATGTATGATCATGAAGTATTACAACATTATATGCTTAGCTCTTTCGGTAAAGTCACGTTGAAGGGAAACAATAAAATAATAAAATATATATAAAACAATAAACAAATTCTCACGACGTTTCGACCATAACACAAACGGTCGTCATCAGGTGTGTCGGTTTGCATTAATTTATTTATTTTAAACGGTGTATTTATTTATTGATAAAAAACGTCAGCGCCACGCGCAGCGATTTGGCAGTTTATTTAGAAGGACTAGTCCATCTATGTTCTGAAAAGAGGAGGGGGGAGACGAAAAATTAATGTATGCTGTCTGAAAGCCACTGTAAGCGTGAACAATCAATTAAGACCTGAAATGGTTAATCAAATCTTTCCAATGATTGCTAAGCCAGAATCCATCTTCTCGGTTGAAATTGTCTCTGTGCTTGTATATGTGGATAGCCTCATGAACGAATCTCTCATGGTAGCCAGATGGCTTACAACATTATCATACAACGTAATCATCCATTGTACAATAATGTTATATGATAATGCATTGTATGATAATGTTGTAATGTTGTAAATACTGCAGTGTATGATAATGGATGCGATTATGATGATGTTGTTCACGACGTTAGTGTTTTGTTTCCACAGTCATGCTACAAATATGGTGGTCCGGTTGCCTATTCCAAAAAGCACGATCAGGTAAGAAGATTTAAAATGATGAATGAACAACACTAAATGCGCAGCGTTAGTAAAAAGTTAGCAAAGTAAGTTTTAATGTCATTAACTTATCAAGAAAAGTCTTGCCAAGTCTCAAGACTAGTGCGGGAGGTTTCTGTATTGGGTCGTTTGGCCAATGCCATTTTAATGATTGTGGGGGTAAAAAAACAAAGAAGTGAAAAATCCACGCATACGAAGGGGTAGCAATCCCCACAGATGGATGCGTTCACACACCTACTTGCTATGCTGCCAGCTCCTAGCCACCTTGCAGCCTAGTGGGTTTGGGAATTTCACTAACCTCGACGTGACCCACCAAACCTCACCTCCATCGCTCTTGGTTGTCAGCCTCCAGTTAAACTGTTAACAATACAAACATGTATATTCTTGGTTTTTCTGTAAAGTCACGTAGAAGGGAAACAATAAAATAACAATTTTCTTGCTGTGGTTTTCACACCGGACGATGATTGCTTGTGTTGCAGTCGAAACGTCGTGAGAATTTAATTGTTTTATATTTTTATTATTTTGTTTCCCTTCTACGTGGTGACTTTACCGAAAGAACCCAGAATATGAATCCCTGCAGTCACGATAGCTTCAGATCAAAATTTAATACAAACATTATGAGACCTCCTTTGCCAGAAACAAGATATAGGAATAGGTTTTACCCTTTTAACTGGCACAAAAAACTGACACCTTTATTCAAGGCATCATGTTTGCAATAACCACAACACAAGCAGTCAAAATGCAGACAAAAAAGACAACTCTGATAATAATATGCACTGTCCTTGAATTTGATTGGTCCACACCCAAGACAGCTTTTCTTAGAGCCTAGTCTCCATTGGTGTTGGACCAGAAGAAATGCTCACCCCGAGCCCTCAATACTCTGATAGTGCGCTGTTTTTGAGTTGTACGCCTTTTGGCGTCTTCTGGTCCAACACCAATGGAGACTAGGCTCTAAGAAAAGCTGTCTCGGGTGTGGACCAATCAAATTCAAGGACAGTGCATATTATTATCAGAGTTGTCTTTTTTGTTTGCATTTTGACTGCTTGTGTTGTGGTTATTGCAAACATGATGCCTTGAATAAAGGTGTCAGTTTTTTGTGCCAGTTAAAAGGGTAAAACCTATTCCTATATCTTGTTTCTGGCAAAGGAGGTCTCATAATGTAAATGCTCACCCCGAGCCCTCAGTACTCTGATAGTGTGCTGTTTTTGAGTTGTACGCCTTTTGGCGTCTTCTGGTCCAACACCAATGGAGACTAGGCTCTAAGAAAAGCTGTCTCGGGTGTGGACCAATCAAATTCAAGGACAGTGCATATTATTATCAGAGTTGTCTTTTTTGTTTGCATTTTGACTGCTTGTGTTGTGGTTATTGCAAACATGATGCCTTGAATAAAGGTGTCAGTTTTTTGTGCCAGTTAAAAGGGTAAAACCTATTCCTTAATACAAACATGTTTTGCTGTCATATATCACAACGGTGTGTGCGTGCGTCTCAGTTTGTCGCGAGACGTGAGCAGTCCAGACCAGACGGCAACGTTGGAGCCCGACAGCAGCTCCGTCGTGTGGAACGTTCCGCGCATCACCGGTGGATCGCAGCTGTCCGCCATCTTCCGCGTGCGTATCGCGAACAAACGAAACAAGCAGCAGCATTATGGTTTCCAGCGATGTATTCTCGCCTACGGATGAAATAAGACTTGCTGACGGGCTGGGCTGCAGGTGAGCCGTGGACGGGGATTGCCAGCGCCCACCGATCCTTTTGCGTCACCGTAGGCATTGACGCACGGCCGGTGCGGCCGTGCTCGTCGCGTTTAGCAAGGGTCGACGCTCGCGTCCATTTGTGGACTTTGGTCAGTGGTGGCGACCCACCGCTGGCGATTCCTGCAAGAGGGGGTAACTCATTTTAGCTAACTCGGAGGATTGATAGACTGAGTGGACCAATTTGAGCTGGGATTTCACCTTGAAAGCCTTCATTTCGTTGATTTTTGTGGAGCGGCTCAAGCCATCCCGATATTCTAATCGTGCTGAAGTAAACATTTCTGTTGAATCCAAACCACGTTAAGGAAGTTGAAATATGAATCGGAAACATGTATGTCCTAGCAGAGACACGTGGCCACAAGAAACATTGGTGGCTGTACCGTGCGGAGGAGAATACCAATGTGCGGTTGTGTCTGACTGCCGCCTGCCTGGCAACATTTTGTGAATGTATTTTAGGTCGAAGACAAAATGACCACAAAGCAGTTCTTCTGAACTGGTGGTTTTGCATGACGCCCAGGCCTTCTGTGCATGCAATGCGGCTCTTTGCGTTGTTGTGAAATAATATATCGGAGAAATGCTTGCTTGGAATGACACCGATAGAAAGAGGAACACATCTATCGGGGAACAAACACAAATCAGAGACATCATATGGATTGCAGACACATCACTGGAAAAGAGAGGATGGAATGGTGGCCAAATGATGATAATCGTACTCAGAGGATGACGACTGAAGGAATGAAGCAATAAAGTAATGTGTAGGAGAGGGGCGGCAATGACATGGAAAGCAATCATCGAGCAGTGAATAAAGTATACCCGATGATGGCAAATACAACTGAAGCAGTTTAACAACCGAGTTTTACACGTAATGTGCAGTGCTACATAAAAAAAAAACATTGTTTGCAATACATTTGTTTGCCCAAACACTTAAATGGTGCTTCTTCAGTGTGCCAATGCACATTGAGAGGACATTTCCGTGCATTTACGTCGTTCCAGAAGTGTGATTCCCTGTAAATCGGCACGCATGTTGGAGAGAAACGGAGAGGAGTTACTTAACCGCGTGCACAATGCACTCTATCCCAGTGACCCGCGGTGCATCACGCAGCTTCTAAAACAGTGATCTGTATTCATAGCGCAACCTGAAAATTAGCACCAAGTGCATCATCACATCTGACTATGTTTGTCCACTCATCCACAGTGCTGGCTGCAACGGGTGCCCAAGGGTAACCAAAGCTAACCAGTGTAGAGCTTAGCGCGTACGTGTCTGCACTTGTATGTGTACAATACATGAATAATTTTAATAAAGTAAAATAAATGAAAACTAAATTAAATCACGTTTCGAGCGCAACACAAGCTTGTGCTTTCGCTGCGTTGTCCCCACCTGAAGGAGGACGCTTGTGTTGCGCCCGAAACGTCGTGATTTAATTTAGTTTCCTTTTTTTTACCTACGTGACTTTACCGAAAAAAACAAAGAGTATGAATCCTTGCAGTTACGAAAGCTTCAAATCTAGAATGAATAATTTAGTGTAGTCGTGTAACCTTTATTTATATCAATGAGTCTTCCATCTCCCTTCATTTTATTTAACGTCTAAAGGTAATTTGTAAACATTGTCGGATATCTCTGGCATATCTACTCACTTTAAAAAGAGTAGCATGGAACAGTGGTGCACTGATTAGCACACCGCACTATGGACTCGGCAGGGGCGGCCCGTCAGGGCCAGCAAGACCTCTGCTGGCCTAGAGATTGTCAGAATCAGAAAATTATAGTTTATAATTTAATATATATTTTCATTAATGCTATATGTATTTTACAATGTTCGTTCACATCAGTCTATTAACGTCATTTCATTGCTACTCTCTCCCTCAGTTGCGCTGCTTCCAGTGCAACTCATAAATGAGAGCTTTTATCCAGTCAGATTTTCCACCTGTGCTGTCTCCGTCTCTCTGGGTGAAAAATCTACCCTGAGGCCTTCAGAATGTCGAGTGAATCCGCTCTGCTGTTGAAGCAAATGGGGACGATGTTGTTGATTGTCATCTTTAACCAATCAGATGTCGAGTTTTCCATGGTGGGTGTACTCTTTAACACGCCTTCTAGCTGGCCTAGCCGCCTACGTCAGAATTTTTCGTGTGGCGTGATCGGAAGAGGGCCAGTTAGCTAACGGAATTAAAACTAGCGAGCACGTAATGTAGCATCATCTAAGATTTATTTTGACTCTATTTCGTGACGTTTAGATTTTTTTTTTCTGTGGGGAAGCCTGTTGAATCCTGATTGTGTTATTTGTGTTTTACGGCATTTTTGCTTGCTTGGTGGTCGAATGAGCAAATGTGACTGGTTGTTGTTCTTGTTTCATTGGTAATGACATTGATTTGGGCTATGCGATGTCTATTTGTGATGCAGCATCCTATCATACTGTGTAATAGTGGTACATCCATGATGGTTTCAGTCACCAATGTATTCATGTCTCTGCAAATTCGTGTATTGTAACTGTCATAGGTGTCGAGCCTCGTGCTAAACCACTTTATTCCACTCGATAAAGGTTACTGTCACTGTGAATATGGGGTGGTTACGTCGAATGACAACAGCCTATAGCCCTCGTGTCATGGTGAGGTTATTCGAAGGCGGTTTAATTTGCGGGAGGATAGCACTGAAGGCCTCGGTGTAAAGATACACGGCCTGCCACTGGGACTCGTCAATCTAAGTTCGATTCCCTGCCATGGCTAACATCAGTGGTGACTCAAATCATATCTGGATCTGGCCACTGCACCTTCACCAACCTGCACTGACCTACTGGAGATCTGTGAAAAAGAGCTTCATAGCTCATTGCATTCCTCCAGTATAAATAAATATTCTGAGTCAAACGACTCCCACGACTAACACTGGAGACTCCTTCGTCCAGCAGTCGAATGTTCAAGGGCTGCACGGATTTATTTGATTGCATTATCAATAAAACACTCGTATAGGTGCAAATTAACACCATTTATTTTTGCCCCAGGTTGTTAAATATTTAGGTTTTGCACCTCCTGTTGACTTTAGCACCGGTCCGTGAGAGAGGTGCTCTCGCTGGCCAGTTCCCATGTGTAATTGTTACGCGCGCGCGCGTGTTTTCCAGTTGGAGGTGCCCGGACTCAGGCCCTCGGCTCGACTGGAAGTGGGCCCCGTAGCGTTGACCTTTGACCTTCCAAGCCTGGCCATGTCGGGACTTCGCATTGGCTGCCTGCGTCCTACGCTGGGGGGCCGAGGGGGGGCGGCACTGTCGGGGGAGCCCCCCAAACGCTGGCTACGCTACTCGACATCCAGCGGATCTTACGTCGTCCGCATTTAAGAAAGCACCCGACGACGCGGGTCTTCTTCTTCTTCGCCGCCACGCGCTCGCTCGCATCCCATTTGCCTGCGGTCATCCCAAAGAATCCAGGCTCGCAGCACCATGCAGGATGGGGCACGAAGTTTGCAGCCCCCTTTGTTTTCGCACGGCAGTGAGCACACGTAAATGGGGGAATATACTAAAAAACAAAAACGCTTTGTGTTTTCACAGCCGGACATCAAAAATATGGCACTACCACTTGAAGGTGTTTAAGATTTTTTTTTATTCAAGGCCGGCAATTTGCCACACCAACAATTTCGGAGCACCTCAAGACGCGCGCATTCACCGCGTCATCGTGAGCATTACCGATTATCAAGTGCGCGATTCTCACACATAATTGGTACTGTACTTGCAAATGCTACCCCCTCATTATCAAAGTGTTAATGCAGCCTGCAGCAGATACCGCTTAACTCCACTCACTGGTCTCACTCTGCCGCTCGTCAATCTCAAGCCCCACCCCCCGCTTTCCAATGTCATGCAATGCCCAACTTTCAACAATCAGTAACTTCGTATATCAATTTAAGATTGTTCACCGAGACATTCTTAAAACACATTTTGTTTGTGTTCATGTCGAACCTCTTTCGCACCGTACGTAGCCAACCGTGCTACATCGGTATGTAGCGGAATCTCAACTAATATTCATTTAATCTCTGTTGACTGTCTCTGAACTAGAGTTTCCTCCCACTCAAACTAAGGACCCGAGTGAAAGTCTTGGCTTAATGCAGCCAGTCTTCTTGGACATTAACAAAGAAATGTGTATGACACTGTGTCTGCTGTGCAGAAGCGTCATTGCCGAGAAACGTCGCCTATTTCTAGATTCTTTTTTTCTTCTACCCACTCAAGGCGGTGTTGTTGACCAGTGTATCCAGTTTTATTTTTTTTGTTTGAAACTTGGGCGGTTTGCGTTGACCGCCTGCGATTTGTCGCAGCGCTAAATGCTTTGGCGAGACCGACGGTGAAGGGGAGAGGGCGGTCACATCTTGGAGGTGACGAGACCGGCTCGGACCGCGTTGAAATCGTTGAAGGAAGTCATCCAGGCCCCGCCGTCGGCGACAAGCGTCGAGCCCGTGACGTACGAGGCGAGGGGGCTGGCGAGGAACAGCGCGCAGTGTGCCACGTCCGTTTTGGTGCCCGCACGCCCCAGCGGCACGGAGGCGAAGGGATTCTGCCCCTTGAGGTGACCGCCTGGAGAGATGAACCAGAAAACAACGGTCGCGTTGGGTCAGTGCAGAGCATTTACTCTAGGCTGGCGATAACAGCACTATTTGCGTGTGTGTGTGTGTTTTTAATATTCATGATGCAGACTACTAAATAAACGTTGCAGTGCTTTGTAAAATGAAGTAGGAAAACCTGACGATGTCTTGTGTACAGCTATTCATTCTGGGTTGGTTACCACACCCCTGCATCATCGTGCACAACACGGCAACCAGGGGCAGTACAGCAAAATCCGTCGTTGTCGTGTACATCCAAACTCCACCGCCCCCTCCAACCCGCACTGATGAGCGTGGTGAAGTGTGGTCACATGACAAAAGGACTGCTCACTGCGGAGTGTAAATCCTCCGCCACCGTGAGCCACTTACCAAGCCGCCGCATGCCCTCCGTGCCTGCAATGGGCCCCGGAGCGAGGCTGTTGATGCGCACTTTGTCCGGCCCCCACTCCACCGCCATGTGCTTTGTCATCGCATCTAAACAAAAGGCACGTGGCCACAAGCGTCGCTACATTTTCACATGCAGGCTAGTCTCGTTTAGCGAGGAGTTCTTTCTACACGGACTCGCCATCACGGGCAATGCGAATTTAGATCCATTTGTTCCCAAAAACGAGACAAATGTTCGCTTTGCGAGCAGAGAGCGATCGATCGACACGCGTCCCATGGCGTCACGGTGCGCACCACAAGTTTTAACACGGGAGTCGATGTTTGTTAAAAAAACTATCGTTTCAACAAATGTTCGCCTACCGAGCAATTTTCGCGGAGCGCATTTTGCTCGCGAAAATTGCAATCACACCTACCGCACCATGTACATGTCACAGCCCATCTTGCCAATCCACCGCTGGATGAGGGCCACCCCATACCGTGAGAGCTGTGCAGGTTATATTATTGGACCGTGCTGCACCACGTTTGCGAGTACGGATTGGTGAAGGTTACAGCATAAACGTGGGAGCATCGCACAGTGCAGTAACAGCAACTGATTTTGCCTTCACTGCCCTCTGCTGCCCACAAAGTAGCCCCGCGTGCATACATACATGGAAACATACGCTCACACCCACCACGCACTTCATGGGGCCACCAACCAAGTAAAAAGCAGAATTACAACGGCATGTTTTGCCGAATGTCTTTGGGAGCTCGCCGGGGTGAAGTTGTTTTGTGACGGTCACGGCGCAGCCGCTGTGGAGAGGGCTCTCTTACCGACGGCTGCCTTGGCTGCCCCGGCGTGAACCTGCAGCATCTGTCCTCTGTAACTGATGGTGGCGGAGATGTTCACAATCACCCCTCCGTGCTCCTGCTGCCGCACATGCGCAAGAGCTTGCACACGATTACGCACAAAGACAAATGCCCCCCCCCCCCCATGAAGCCTTTAATGGACTCTTGAGCCAAGTGTTGTTAGTGAGCACCTATTAAGGCCGGCATGGCAAACAAGGGGGTAGGTGGTCAGCAGCATGTTTACACGCCGCTCCATGTACTCGTTTTAAGGCTGAGTCGATCTAAGAGAGGCCCAAGACCAGTTCAGATATTCATCACTGATGTTAACCGTGAGCGGGAATTGAACTTGGTTCGCCGGCGTCATAGCGCAGTGCATACATACAAATTCACACACATTCAATTCTCTCTATTGGGCTTATACGTATTGAGCATTATAGGTATAACATCACAATTGTATTTATTAATGTTGATTCTTAAGGCTCATGATATTACATGGAATCGCATGTGTACGAATCAAAAGTTATTCGACGTACGCAAAATAAAATGAAAACTACTCGCCATTACGTTTAGGTGACTCGCGTAAATGTCCACAGGCGTTGCAGACTGTGTGCATTTGATGGTTAATAGACGAGCAGTGATAACCAGGGCGGCCAGCCAGGTTCGAATTGAGAACCTCTGAAACAAGTGGGGAATGAGGGACCGCCGGGCTGATCTAACCATGACCTCCCAAAACAAGATACGAGTGTTTGTTCCTGCAGTTGACAAACATTGACAGCCCTCTTTGCCTTTCGTGTCCAGTTTTGACAGTTTGTTGGTGCGCAGTGGACTTCAGCCACTTGTTATCAGTCTCCAATCCATGGTCTTAAATGCTTATGTGACAATGGAGAGTTCTAACCCAGAAAAATCTATATCGTGTTCGCAATATTTGCTTACATTTTGAAAAAAAGAAATCACGTGCATTGTCGATATAAACATAAAAACAAATGGGTAAGTAATCACAAAAGATTGACAGACTTTTCAGACTTGATTTGAAGCTTTCGTGACTGCAGGAATCCATACTCTTTGGTTCTTTCGGTAAAGTCATCACGTAGTAGGTAGAAAATAAAATAAATCACGACGTTTCGGGCGCAACACAAGGTGGGACGGGCGCTTGTGTTGCGCCCGAAACGTGATTTATTTTATTTTATACCTACGTGACTTTACCGAAAGAACCAAAGAGTATAGACTTGTCAGACTGAAGTATTTTAAGAAATAGAAAGTTACAGACCTTTTTCAATCCACTGCTGGATAAAATTATCCCCGTGCCATATTGTCCATGATGGTTGCATGACCTTACTGTAGCACGGTGGTCAATGCAGGTTGAAGGATGGAGCCAAAGGTTTCGGTTCAGATTTTACCACTGATGTTAGCTTGGCCGGGAATCGAACTATCATTGTAGCTTGATTGATAGTACAGTGTGATAACCATGGCACCACCTCTCCACTCCACAGAATAAATATGAGTGAATATGAATACAAAAAAATATTCCTAACACGACTACAGACAGCACTCAAACGCTGCTGAGCAGATATAATCCACAGGCTTATGTAGTTAAAATCCAAAGGCAATCCATTCCGATGTCGGATTTAAGTGCTGAGGAATTAATGACAATAATGCATGCAAGCATCACTGGAAGGCAAGATTGCCACCTTTGAGGTATAAAAAGACTGGGATATATCACGGAACGAGAGAATATCTCAACGCCGTAGGAGGGTAGAACTAGAATACATGTGAATGCATTGCTGTAGAGTGACATTATAAAGCAAATAAAAATACAATTGGCTTTAATGTTCTGGGAAGACTTACAGATTTCCCAGGACAAGATACTACACCAAACATCACAATCCTGGTAAAACCCACATCAAGGTGTCACAGTGGCGAGATGTTAACTACCTCGCCTAGTATACAGGAGGTCGTAGGTTCAATCCCGACCCTGACACCTGTATATTTGAAGTTTGTATGTCTCTCTCCTCGTGGTCACGTGGATTTTTCTCCACATTTAGAAACATGCGTATGGAGTATTTGGCTGCTATAAATGTGCACATGACAAGCAACTTCATTGAACTATAAATTGTGGCCAGGTAGGCTTTTGAAAAAGAGCAATATATAGCTGAGTGGGCATTATCTGGTATAAAAAAATAAAATGAGTAAAAAAATGGTTTAAGTGTCAGCCCGACTGGAAGGCGGCTGGTGTGTTTGCAGCACGATGTAGCTGACCTTGAAGCAGCGTCGATAGAGCGCCAGGCTGGTGTTGAAGGTGCCCATGGTGTCAATGTCCATGACTGTGCGGAAGCCCTTGGGGGTGAGGTTGCTCATGGGGCACACGAAGTTTCCCGCCGCGTCTGCAGTCGCCCGCGCGCACAATTTAAACGAGAACAAGTGGCGGCCCATGACCCCTCAGTTGGAGGAAGAAATGCTATCCGACCTTATCTTCTTCTGCTTCGGGTTGGATGAATCGATGGTTGGAATGTGCAAGGAAATGCATGATGGTGATTAACCAATGTCGGGCTCCCACCAGACCAGTTCTCCAAGGAAGCTGCATGGGCTGCGTGCACCCGTCTGATGGAGAAAGAGCTGATATTGAATCCACTGCCAGCGCTTTCCAGTTTCTTAGTTGGTCTCTATGCGAGTATAACTCTCTCTGTGGGACTCTATGAGTCTCCATGAGAGAAGCCACTAATCATGGCATTCCAGTTTCTCACAATGTCTCCATCTAACATCAAATGAACTATATTGGTCTCTAGGTCTCCATTTGAGCAAGCGCCAATTAAAAATCCACTTTTCGCACATTCCACTTCGTGAATTCACCTGCATGCATTGCCACCTGGGAACAGAGTCGGGGTTTGTAGCCTCTAACTGGAGCCAGGAGCTGCTCGTGTATACATGAGGGGACATACACAGGCACCTTTTCCTGCAGTAATTTGTTAGATTTCTGCGGTAGTTTTTTTTTTTTACAATATTTTGAAGCACCAACGTTGCAGCGGCAGCAGCAGCATTTAAGAATCGAACGCCACCAATATTACAAATGTAATAGTGTCAGTTTGGCGGAACTAGGTTACATTTTTGGGGGTCAAATTTTGCACAATTCCGCCATGGGACGTGTGCAATGCCTCCTACGGCTTTGACGCTGGCATTCTAGAGAACTTCCATATCACTGCCATGTTTTTCAGAAAAATGCTTTTGAAATCATATATAAATCCCAGGGTAATGTTTTTTGCCATAGAGGAGATAAAAAGAAGGAATCACTGTTGACGAGGATGTGGATGCGGGGGAAGCGCTCCAGGGCGAGGTCGAGGGCTCGCTCAATGGAGGTCTCATCCCTGACATCTAGGGTCACGGCCACGCAGCTCTGGCCAGTGGCTTGCACCAGCTTGCGAGCCGCCTTCACCACACGCACACACACAGACAGCGAGCAGACAGCGAGCAAGCACCGCTTACACGGAAGGAATCGCCTCACAAGCACAGTCAACACCGGGGTTCTTCTACTGGCTGCCCACGGGCCAGATGTGTTCTGTAAAGGCTCTTGGGAGTGTCCTGCCGAGCTGTGCCCCAACAAGAGGTACGATCAGAAGCAAGCGAGATAAACAAGAGAAAGAGATGAGCTGGTGATGAGAGATGAAGGTTAATGAGATAAAAGTGAGATATATAAGAGGGAGATAAGGAGGTGAGGTCGATATTATGGTCGCATGTACAAATGAACTTTGACTTTACAATGCTATGTGATGTAATATGCTGGAATTAAGGAAGGATGATTATGATACAGTGATCTTCACGTGTCACTCAGATAAACACCTTACAGGCAGACATGCTTACCTCTTCCACCCGCTCCTTGTTTCGGCTTGCGATAATGGTATCACAGCCATGCCTGCAAATTTGAGCACAATAATGGAAAGGGTGACAGGAGAAGCAGTTGAGTGAGACCACCTCTTTGCCATACACAACACTTGCAATCTGTGGTGAACACTCCGAGTCCATGGACTCTACCCTGTCCACTTCTCCTCTCTCACTTTAGTGCTCTCCACTCTAGCAACGAAACCTTTCTCTTGTCGAACCTCCAAATCATTGTTTTTCTTTGTGGAAGGTTGTGCCTTCTGTAGTCTTGAACTCACTCCCACCAGCCACCCGAGATGTCGACCCTGTTCATTCCAGGCTCCAGACCTTTTTATTCTCTGACCACGACTGCCTCTCCCTTAAACAGTAAGTATATATAAAGATCCCCCGTATAGCCTTAACAGACTGTAGGGGCAAGTGCTGTTAGCGAGCACCTATGAAGGCCGGAATGGTACACGAGGGGGTGGGTGGCCAGCACCACGCCCGACCGCCTTTGTCTCCCCAGCGGCGATGTTTACACACCGCACCAGGTACTCATTTCAGGCTGAGTCGACCTAGGGGAGGCCCAAGACCGGTTCAGATAATCGTCACTCGTGTTGGCCATGAGCGGGAATCGAATCCGGGTCGCCAGGTTCATAGCGCAGCGCGCTAACCACTACACTACCGCTCCCCACTAAGTATATATATACACACACAGACAAACAATTTTGTCAGTGACGTGCATCCAACTGTACTGCATCTTGAGATTCTAATTATCTTGTGTGAATAATGGATTTCAAATCCTCTACGCTGGCAGACACAAGAATTGTAATGAACCGCATCTGCTCATGAAGACGAGAAGTTCAAATACCTCATGAAGAGTTCAGCGATGCGGAAGCCAATTCCAGAACCTCCCCCAGTGATGAACGCCACCCTCCCTCTGGAGGACACATACACAGGTAACAAAGCGTTGTCTTTCGCAGGAACCCTGCAATGAGCCACAGAATTATCGACCGCCATCACTTTTTTGACTTCCGATGCAAACATCAAATCATGCGTGCTGAGAATTGATTTTTCGCAATTTAGACAAGTTACACGTTTATGCAAATGTTACCTTCAGGCGAATGGAATGAGGCTGAACGTACGAGACAGACGATTCACATAAGAGCACAAATTAGAGAATAAGAAATTATTCTTGACTCACATCGTGACCCTGGATTGCAACAACTGATCGAATCGTGAGTAACATTCTATTCTTTCATAGGTCAAATTAAGAGCAAATATTAGAGTTTTAAATGACTCAGCCCTTCGATTGCTTTGTGGTTAGGATGAAGCGTTACATGTCTGCTTGGCTGACATGGTACATGAGGCTGAGTTCAGAAGGACTAAGCAGTGGTAGTGCATTCGAAAATGTGGTTAGGAGAGATCATTGAGCCAGGTGACTGGAGGATGGGTCTGTAGAAGATAACGTGAGGGTGAGGCATGTTAGTGGAGTAAACTGAGACTCATCTAGTGAGATTATGGAAGAGTGGGGCTGTATAGGAGATGACACAACACGGAAAGCTGTGCTCACAAACAGCAGGACGGCGCGTGACTCCCGTCCTGCCTTGCATACCATCTGACCACCACCAGTGCATGTACAACGCTCTCAGCCTTGTCCCTGAAAATTAAGTCACAGCGTGACGTTCGTGTGAACAAGCGAGACTCATCGAGTTGGATTACTGGAGGAAAGTGGGCCTGTGGAAGATCGACCAACGGTGAAGCATTGTTATTGGAATCAAGTGGGACTTTGTGACCCAGATTATTGGAGGAAAGTGGGCATGTAGAAGATCGATCAACGGTGAGGAATTGCTATTGGAATGAAGTGGGACTCGGCGAGAAGCGTTACTTCAGCAGCGTGGGGCTGTAGAGGTGCGTGTAGCTCAGCAAGCAGTCGTCCGTGTCCACATCAGCAGCAGCAGCAGAGCTCCACTCGTCTTTTTGAGACATCACACTTCACGTGTCCTGCAAGCAGCAGCCTTCTCAGATCTAGACAACGGCAAAGATCAAGGTCCGTGAAGCAAGCTTTGTTAACTGAAACAACTTCTTCGAATGAATTAACACAGGTTCCAAACGAATCGCACTCAAACCGGAGAGTTGTAACTGGGAACCATCATGCAAACTGTCATCATGCTACTACAGCAAAAGCAACAGCATCAACATCAGCAGCGTCATCATCTCTTTGTGGTTGGTAACATGAGCGGCTTTTCTAAAGACTAGCTGCTGCCATGGGCATGTGTAACTTCCACCATTGGCTCAAGTCTGTCAATTCAGATGAGCGTTTTGCGTCCACTCTATTATGTAAAAGTAATAATAGGTTTTACCCTTTCTGGCAATAAAACAGTTGTGTTAAGATGTTCAAACACCAAATAGAAACATTTTGCAAGGAATCATGTCTGCATTAACCACACACAGTACTTGTGTACATGCAAGAAAAAAACAAGCTCTGATATTACATGGGATTGTCTTTGAAACTGATTGGTCTACACCAGAGACAGCGGCCTTCTTCAGGGCCTAAGTCTCATCACCACCAGTGTCAGACCAGAGAACGACGCAAAAAGACGACCAGTACAAAGACAATGCACGGATGAGGTGCATTGTCTGGGAGCTGCTCACTCCCGCAGACTCTGGAACCTCTAACAGCTTGAGTGCCCTGTGGTCGCCCTTCTAAACCACGATCCAGGCTCCACTTCACTTAGCTCCAGAGGCTGAGTGAACCACCTTGGTTGTCGTTATTCTTTGAATCGAGAAAACATTCCGGAGATGTCCACCACGTTAAGCGTCGTGGGTGACAGGAAGCATTGACTCGCGTGCAACAGGAGTCTCAGCTGTGCGCGTGTGTGTGCTTTACGTAGGTCGACTCAGCCTCAAATGAATACCTGGTGCGGTGTGTAAACATCGCCGCTCGGGGAGACAAAGGCGGCCGTGCTCGGTACTGGTCACCTACCCCCTCGTGTGCCACAGTGCCGGTAGCCTTCACAGGTGCTACTCGCTAACAGCACTTGCCCCAACAGTCTGTTACAGGCTACCGGGGGGTCTTTGTGCTTTACTGCGTCCTTCACGAGCCTCGTGAAGGACGCTGCTGCTGCTGCTGGGTCACTTGGGAGGCAGTCGCCCTCCTCCTCCTCCAACAACAACGGAGGGCAGAGGAGCGTCGCTCATAACAACGAGCGGAGCGCCGGGCGGATAAAACGCAGCGAGTTGGCACAGAAGGGGGTCACAGCTGGTGGTGCCATCACCTTGGCAGTGATTTCAGTCGCGTCATCCTACGGCACCACCCGTGCCCGTAACCTCCTCCTCCTGCCAGCAGCGAGCCTTCGACACTTCACGTGACGGCCTTTAAGTGCACCTAGCCTGGCACACGTGCCGTGGTGACGTCCCCGCCACTTAGTGGCTGCTGCTGCTGTTGTTGTGTCGATGAGTGCGAGCGAGTGTCACGGCGAGTGCGGGCGGGGAGCGGTGGCGCAGTGGTTAGCGCTACGCTGCGCTACGAACCCCGGCGACCCGAGTTCGCGATTCCCGCTCACGGCCACCACCGGTGACGAGTACCCTGAACCGGCACCTGGGCCTCCCCTAGGTCGACTCAGCCTCAAGTGAGCACCCGGCGCGTAGTGAACATCGCCACTGGGGGGGGGGGTGGGGGAGGGAGACAAAGGCGGCCGGGCGTAGTTGCTAGCCACCCCCTCGTGTGCGTGCCACGGTGCCGGCCTCCACAGCCACTCGCCCCGACAGTCCGTGAACAAACACAACAACAACAGAGCGTGTGTCGAGCACGAGAGGCGACGCCGTCGTTCGTACTTCGTCGTTCGCACTGCAGCACGGAGCAGCACGAGGAGACCGACTTCGCGTGCTGCTGCTGCTGGTGGTGCTGGAGGTGGTGGACGCAGCAGTGGTGGTGGTGGTGGACGCAGCAGCAGTGGTGGTGGTGGACGCAGCAGTGGAGGGGGCCCAGAGCGGCAAGGAGAGAGAGAGTGAACTCTGCACTCTCGCTCCTGCCTGGTGCTGCTGCTGCCGTGTTGTGGAGTGTGTGTGTGTGGTGTGTGTGTAGTGTGTGGGGGGGTGCAGGCTGTGTGTAGAGTGTGTGTGTAGACTGTGTGTGGTGTGTGGGGGGTGTGTGGTGTGGTGTGTGTGGTGTGTGTGTGGTGTGTGTGTGTGTGGTGTGTGTGTGTGGTGTGTGTGGTGTGTGTGTGTGGTGTGTGTGTGTGGTGTGTGTGTGGTGTGTGTGTGTGGTGTGTGTGTGGTGTGTGTGTGTGGTGTGTGGTGTGTGTGTGGTGTGTGTGTAGTGTGTGGGGGGGTGCAGGCTGTGTGTAGAGTGTGTGTGTGTGTAGACTGTGTGTGGTGTGTGTGGGGGGTGCAGGCTGTGTGTGGTGTGTGTGTGTAGAGTGTGTGTGTGGTGTGTGTAGAGTGTGTGTGTAGAGTGTGTGTGTAGAGTGTGTATGTAGAATGTGTGTGTAGAATGTGTGTAGAGTGTGTGTATGTAGAGTGTGTGTAGACTGTGTGTGTGTAGACTGTGTGTATGTAGAGTGTGTGTATGTAGAGTGTGTAGAGTGTATGTAGAATGTGTGTGTGTGTAGAATGTGTGTAGAGTGTGTGTATGTAGAGTGTGTGTAGAGTGTGTAGAATGTGTGTATGTAGAGTGTGTGTATGTAGAATGTGTGTAGAGAGTTTGTATGTAGAGTGTGTGTAGACTGTGTGTGTGTAGACTGTGTGTATGTAGAGTGTGTGTATGTAGAGTGTGTAGAGTGTGTATGTGTAGAATGTGTGTAGACTGTGTGTATGTAGAGTGTGTGTGTATTTAGAATGTGTGTATGCAGAAAGTATGTAGACTGTGTGTGTGTAGTGTATGTAGAATATGTGTGTGAGTGTGTGTATTTAGAGTGTGTGTATGTAGAGTGTGTGTATGTAGAGTGTGTATGTAGAATGTATGTAGAGTGTGTATGTATGTTCCGTTTGGAATTGATAAAAAGCTACCATACTGCTTCTACTTGACTACTGTGACATTGTGTATAAATCAGCCCCAAGTACTGTACTGAAGAAGCTTGATTCCATCTATCACTCGGCCTTAAGATTTGCATTGAACTGCCCATATAGGACCCACCACTGTGATCTCTACATTGGGTCAAACTTAACATCTCTTAATGTTTGACGGCTTGTGCACCAGATCTTAATTATTCATGATGTAATTACAAAAAAATCCGCAGACTACCTACTGGATCTCCTCTCTGTTTCAAAGAACAAATTTGACCTCAGGTCTTCGCTCATTTACCAGCTTCACATTCCCTATTGCCGTACAAAAACCGGAGGAAGGGCCTTTGCTATTGATGCCCCCAGGGTCTGGAATGCTATTGCCAATAAACTGCAACTTGAATCACTACCTATGAGATCTTCACTCAAACTGCTCTAGAGGAGTCGTACACCCCTAGCTGCCACTGCTATTCAGTGGCCTAAACTATGGCTCTAGATTTTGGTGTTATAATTTATTTATGTAGTTTATTGTTAAAAATTAGGTCACAGTCCCTATGATCACTGTTACACTGCATTTATGGCTTTTATTTTGGTGATTTCGAAAACGGTTTTTTTGTTTTGGCCATGTTTTTGTTTATTGTAGTACGGAGTTAGACTGATGGCTTTAATCTTAGTTGTCTTGTGGTTGTTGTTATTTGACTTGCATCCCACTGGGATTTTTGCACACAGCGTTGGTGTACGGTGCTATTTCAGGAATATTTTGATGTTTTTTTCCTGTATTTTCTGTTTGCACAGTCACATAGCCACTTTAAGATGTTTTTCTTGTTCATGTTTTTGTTTGTTGCGGTTGTACCCGATTCAAGAGCCGAATGGCTCACAGGGCTATTCCAAATAAATGAACTATGGAACTATGGAAGAGTGTGTGTAGACTGTATGTAGAATGTATGTGTGTAGAATGTATGTGTGTAGAATGTGTGTGTGTAGACTGTGTGTAGAGTGTGTGTAGAGTGTGTAGAGTGTATATGTGTAGAATGTGTGTATGTAGAATGTGTGTGTGTAGACTGAGTGTGTGTGTGTGTAGAGTGTGTGTAGACTGTGTGTATGTAGAGTGTGTAGAGTGTGTATGTGTAGAATGTGTGTATGTAGAATGTGTGTGTGTAGACTGAGTGTGTGTAGAGTATGTGTATGTAGAGTGTGTAGAGTGTGTATGTGTAGAATGTGTGTAGAATGTGTGTAGAATGTGTGTATGTAGAATGTGTATGTAGAATGTGTGTGTGTAGACTGAGTGTGTGTGTGGCTTAAGTGGTGGCGCAGTGATTTAGCGCCCCGAACCCGGCCCCCAATTCCCGGCCCTGGCCCTCCCCTAGGTCGACTCAGCCTTTAAATAAGTACCTAGTACTCGTGTGTAAACACCATCGCTGGCGAATCACGTTCTGCCACACACTCGAACCGGCCTTCACGTGCGTTCGCTGACAGCACTTGACCCGGATATGTCTCGTGTAGACTGTTGATTGTACCGGTAAGGTGTGCACCACACGTGTATGACTGTACTGTTCGCTCTGTGTGTACAGCACGTACTCTTGACGGCTTCGTGTGTAGTCTGTGTGTAGTTGTTTGTGGGGAGCGGCTGTGTGGTGGTTAGCGCGCTGCGCTATGAACTTGGCGATTCCCGCTCACGATCAACATCAGGTGACGATTATCTGAACGGGTACCTGGGTCTCCCCTAGGTTGACTCAGCATCAAATGAGTACCTGGTGCGGTGTGTAGTAAACATCGCCACTTAGGAGATACAAAGGCGGCCGGGCGTGGTGCTGGTCACCCACCCCCTCGTGTGCCGTGCCGGCCTTTATAGGTGCTGCTCGCTAACAGCACTTGCCCCAAAAGTCTGTTACAGGCTATAAGGGGGATTTTTGTCTTTGTTATATGCTTGAAAGTACATATGTTCGTTACTTATTTATATTTAAGGCAAGTATTTTTTTATCAAAAGGTTAGCTTATCTCATAAGGCAAGTTCATGAAAAGCCTCTGTAACTACAATGGTGTACCAATGCAATATTCATACTGGTTAGTCTGTTAAGGCTACACGGGGGATCTTTGTTTTTAATGTGTGTATGTAAAGACGTATGTTTAAATTCTTTCACACCGTACTTACCAACCGTGCTAATCGGAGGTGCCAGTGGGGGAAGAACAACAGCAACAACAAGACGAAGAAGACGAAGAAGCCACAGACTCGACACAAGAGGTAATGGTTTTAGTCGTCGTGAGGTTGCTGTGACACCACGAGTGGACCGCGAGAGGCCAAAAGCACACACACACAGACACACATTCACACGTGTGACCGTGCCCTCCGGCCGATATAACGAGACCCACCCACTATGTGCTCGTGTGTGTGTGTGGGGGTTCAAGTTATCAGAGCTGTCTAACTTTATCTAGGGCAAGCGTTGTTGCAGTGCGTCTCATTCTGATGTTGACAAGACGGTAAGGGGCCGTCCATAAATGACGTCACGCAACTAGGGGGAGTGGGGGCGGGGGCGGGGTCAGATATTTGTGACGATGTGCGACGAGGGGGGAGGGGGTTTGAGAAATGTGACGTCACATCAAAATACGCAACTTTAAATAAATATGGACAACACGTTCTACTTAATTAAATAGACTTTTTAATAAATGTTTTCTCCTACAACATCAAAGTGTAGCGCCACATTAAATACGCACTACAATGACAATAGTTTAGAGCGATTTGAAGCATGTTTTATATATTTTTTTGGGGGGGGGGGGGTGGCAAGAGCTTTGTGACGTCATATTTTAGGAGGGGTCTGACTTTTTGTGACGCCGTGTGACTTGGGGGGGGGGGGGTTAAAAATCGTCCAAAATCGCGTGACGTCATTTATGGACGGCCCCTATGGACCGTAAGCCTCAACGCGCACCTCCTCCTCGTGTCACAGCAGCATCATCACCAGTCCCAGTTCCGAATCTTTATACTGGGGGATGGATCCCGATGAGCGATACAAGCTCTTTTGTAACAGAAGTTCCAGTAGGGGGCACTTGGTCAGAAAGTTACAACAGTCAATAAAATTAGTAATATTTAAAAATACTTTTTTTTTTTAAAACACGCTTTAATGAATTGTACCCTACTCGTAATGGAAGACCTCCACGACTCCAAGAAGTGGCCTCGAAGCTTGCCATAGCGGAAGGGGCCGTGGTGATTTAAGCCAACGTGAGTTGAGCGTGGACAATTAGACCCAAGTAGAAACATAATTCTAAATTTAAAGCTTTCGTGACTGCTAGGATCCATACTCTTTGGTTCTATTGGGTAAAGTCACCTACGAGTATAGAAACATAATATTAAAAAAGAATTAAAAAAAACATTTTTTTATGATGGAATATCGTTTTGTCATCAGTATGACATAAGTCTACCAAGTTTGCAGTCGATACCACATTGGGAAGTGGGTTAAAATTGAGTTACAAGATTTGAGGATACGACAACAGAGCGTGAGTAAAATAAAAGCGTGTAAAAACACGATAGGAGTGCAAAGTATAAGAAAGATAAACAAATAACTTACAAAAAATATAAACACAAATAAAAAAAACAATTATTACCACAGGTAAAGCCCACTGAGCGATTTCGCTTCTCTTTCAGAAGCGAATTGCCTAACAAATGCTCGCTCAACGAAGTTGCTTATCACGTGGACATTTCTTACAGCCAAAGACTCTTAAGGTCAACGTTTGGCTCGTCCCCCGGGTGACTGCAGTGAGCGCAGTCACCCTTGGCATTGACATTGCTCCAAGACACTGGTGTGTGTCACCCATCGAACTCATTGCAACATCAACTCTGGCCGTCGTGTCAAATTTAAGAAGCGGTGTGTACGATTGTGGCCATGCAAACCAAAGTATGGATTGTATAGTAAATACCTGCGGTGTACCTGCAGTAGTATCTGCTGAATGTTGCCATACGCAAGAAGAAGATACAGTATCTGGATACCTGGTCGGGTTTTCCCTCCACGTTTAGAAACATGCGTTTAGACATTGACTTAAAGCTTTCGTGACTGCAGGAATTCACATTCTTGGGGGTTTTGGTAAAATCACGTAAATAGGTTCAAAGAAAATAACAAAAAAATGACAAAAAAATTCAGGAAAGACGACCGCTTGTGTTGCGATCGAAACGTCGTATATTTTTTTGTTATTTTCTTTGAACCTATCTACGTGATTTTACCGAAAAGCCCAAGAATATGCGTTTAGACAATTTATATTAATTTGCTGCGGGAAATGTCCAAATGATAAGCCACTTTGTTGAGCTATCATTTGTGGCCAAGTCGCTTTTGGAAAATAAGTGAATACCGATTTGGGATTTGCCTGGTAGGATAGGGATGGTTTAGTGTTGTATTTGTTTGAGTTTGGGTGATGTGTTTACCTTTCTTGTACTTTTCACTCCTGTCGTGTTTTTGTACTGTTTGTTGTAACGTTCTTACCCACCCAGACTTGACATCTGTGCAAAGAGCTTCATAGCTCATCGGGTTTCTCCAGTATAAATAAATATTTTGATAAAAAATATATATTCTGTGTGATCACTCTTGCAAATGGGACGATTCTGGTCTCTTAGGTTCACTCGCCTGATTAAACAAAATCAACTTGAAACAAATAAACTACAGGGGCTTTGGCCTGATTCACTTTGTCACAGGACGTATTCTAACGTGACCCTTCAATTACGTGACCTCTTCCTCTGGCGGACGTGGATGTAGAGCGGTGTTCTTCACTAATTTCCAGAGGAGGGCCACTTTCGCTCACAATACATCATCAGCGCGAGGGCCGCCACAGACTTGAAACCATTGGGGTTTGACAGCAGCACAATGGGGTGCTTGCACATTGTGTGTTTTTATCGGGGGCCGCACTGAAGGCCACCAGTGGCTCGCGGGCCTTGCAATGAAGAACACTGGTTGCGGAGCAAAAGATACAATGTTACTTTGAACGTGGTTGAGCCAAATTATTGCGTCAAGGGTTAGCGGAGTGTATCGCTGCGAGGAAGACAACGATACATCCTTCTTCCTGTGCGACTGTATGTGAATCGGCCAAAGAGTCGTGACGTTCCACGGTCTATTCTGGGCTGTGACCACAGCCACAACAAAACTGGCTCCCAACGCGTTCGTTAGCGAGACAAGAGTCACCGCCGCACATGGACCGGAACATTTCTTTTTTTTATTTTCCAATGTGTGCACTTTACATTTACACAAAAGCCACTTCGTTGAGCTGTCATTTGTGGGCAGATCGCTTCTGAAAACTAAGCGAATAGTTCAGTGGGCTGTACCTGTTAAGATAAAAAAAAATTGTAGAGTTTTAGTTGCATTTTTTTACGCGATTTGGTTACCTTTGCTATACTGTATTTTGCAATCCTTATCGTGGTTTTTGTATTATTTTTTGTTGTAACGTTCTGACCCCGTTTTTCCATACTGGACATCTGTGAAAAAAAGCTTTATAAATGCATATTCTCATTTATTCTGAAACACTGTACAGTACAGTTTAACACGTAGGCTTTCGCGACCAATATTGTCCATAAGAGATCGTGTAAATATGAATGTGTCGTTAAACCCGCCACCACCAATTAGTAAGGCTTATCACGTAAACAAAACACGCCAATTCGTTACTAGTTCAGCACACCGGACAGCCAGAGTTGTGGCTGTCCGCCTGATGAAGCTAGTTGTAATTATTGCCGAAACGTCGTACTTGAATTGTAAATGTTACGGGATTTACTTTCCAACACGCAACCGGTGTGTGGCTGAACCAGTAAGGAATTGGCGACCTTTGTTCACGCAACTAAACCTTACTAATAAGCTGTGTCGTCGGGTGGTGGCGGGTTTAACGACACAATTACATTTACGCGACCTAACCCAAAAACGACTGTGGGCCAAAAACAACAGCCGCCATTCACAACTAAGTGAAGTCGTCACGGCGCCTGTGCCAGGGTAGGTGCACTTTGAGGCCGCGTGAAGCGTCGAAGGCTCGCTGCTGACAGGATGAGGTCTCGGGACAGACCCAGCAGGTGCCATTGGTCGGCTGATTGAGATGACCGACAGATGCACACCAGCTGTGCCCCCTACTGTGCCAACTTGCTTCGCTTTATCCGCCCGGCGCTCCGCTCGTTGTTGTGAGCGTCGCTCCTCCGCCCTCCGTTGTTGTTGGAGGGCGACTGCCTCCAACTGCCCAGCAGCAGCAGCGTCCTTCACGAGCCTCATATTGTGGACCGTACACGTTACCTGTCAACCCCTTATCAGTGCTCTACCTTATTACAGACCAATTCAGACCTTATTGATCACCCCGTGCCCTTATAAATCTCAACGTTCATCCTAATAAAGTCCCACCACAAGGGAGAAACACAAACAAATACACAACAATTTTGATGTTGTTGCCAGTATTGAAACGGCTGTACGCCGTATGGAACTGAAAACTCAACGTCCCTGTACACAACTAGGGGGTGAACCCCAGCGGGTTGACAGCTGCTGTGGTGGTGGGGGGTTCAGTCCCCACTTCACGTACACACCGTGGTTTACCTACGATCACGTGGTTGCACAACGCTTTGATCATCGGGGCGAGCGGGGCGGGGGTGGGGGCGAGCGGGGGGGGGCGAGTGGGGGTGGGGGGGGGCGAGCGGGCGGGGGGGCGAACGGGGGGGGCCGAGCGGGGGCAAGCGGGGGGGGCCGAGCGGGGTGGGGGGGGTGAGCGGGGTGGGGGCAAGCGGGGGGGGCGAGCGGGGTGGGGGGGCCGAGCGGGGTGGGGGGGGGCCGAGCGGGGTGGGGGGGCCGAGCGGGGTGGGGGGGGCGAGCGGGGGGGGGTGGGGGGCCGAGCGGGGTGGGGGGGCCGAGCGGGGTGGGGGGGCGAGCGGGGTGGGGGGGCCGAGCGGGGGGGGGGGCGAGCGGGGTGGGGGGGGCGAGCGGGGTGGGAGGGAGCGAGCGGGGCGGGGGGGGGGGCCGAGCGGGTTGGGGGGCGAGCGGAGTGGGAGGGAGCGAGCGGGGCGGGGTCATTATCACCCCCTCCCCCCTTGCTGGGTCACGTGGTAGGCGGCGGCGTGCACCGTCGGGGGCTGGGTGGCCTCGCGCCACTATGGGCTCCTCGGCGTCGTCTCTCGTGGAGGAGGAGGCGGCGGCAGCGGTGGTGGCGGACTCGGGGATCGCGGACCCAGGCGGCGGTCGCGCCAGCGGCGAGAGGAGTCGTGGCAGCGAGGCGGAGACGCAGCAGCAGCAGCAGCCGCAGCAGCCGCAGCCGCAGCATCACCGCGTGCTCGGCGACTCCGCCTTCTTCGTGTCGTCCACGGGCACCGTGCGGCGCAAGCGGCGGGCGGCGAGGCCTCGTCAGGCGAGGTGAGCGAGGCGGGTTGATGGGTGGTGACTTGTGGGTGCACCTAGCCTGGCACACGTGGGCCGTGGTGATGGCACCCGCGGTTGGCTGTCGTGGTTGTAGCGCCCTTAACCCGGCGACCCGAGTTCGACTCCCGCTCACGGCCAGCGACGGTCGACGGGCGGTGATGATCTGACCCGGGTCTGGGCTCCCTCCAGGTCGCCTCGGCCTCAAACGAGCACCTGGCGCGGTGCGGAGTTCAACGTCGCCGCTGTCGGCACCACGTGACCCAACAGTGTGTTGGGGCTCTACGGGGACTCGAGGTGCACCTAGCCTGGCACGAGCGCCTTGTTTGACGCGCCAAACTCTTTAGGGGCAAGCATCGGCTGCTCTCTGCGTAGGTATAATAACAACGCCTATGTAACACTATTGTTCTGTTCCTGGGTAGTAAGTGTTATTTTCTAATTGATTAGGACTCTAAATTATATAAACTGACTATTATTATTCCACACGAAACTTTTGTTTTTGTGAGCAGGACAGTGATATTTTAATATTTACCTATTTTCAATGAGAAAACGTGGTGCGCATTTGTGTAATTCCTTAACGTAAAGTGCTGCTCACAAAAGCTAAGTTTGTGGGGAATAATATCAATTTCATATAATTTATAGAGTCCTAAGCAATTAGAAAATAACACTTACTACCCAGGAACACAAACCGTGTTTACCTAGTGTTACAGTTGGCCAGGCTAAGTATACCTTGAAGATATATATGTATTAGATATCTTCTAATGTTTAATATAAATGTGTTGGATGTGTACAGTATGCTAATATATTGCACATGGACGTGTGATGTTTATTATAGTAATGTGTACTGTATGCGGGTTGTATTGTCTCTGTTAGAGATCCTCCAATATCGTGATAAACGAAGGCGTTGTGCAATACAGTATGAGTCATCTTAGTTCTCAATTGTGTGTTAGTGTGTGTACAGAGATGTTGCTTGTGGTATCTGTACGCGTATTAGATGTGTGTACATGTCTGTGAGAGGTGTTCAAGTTTGTATTCGAGGTATTTGTGTACTGCGTTATTGTCAAGTGGTTTTATTATTGGTGGAACCTTTTTAATAATAACGCATTTGGGATATCAGTTTGTGTGTGTGAGTGTGTTAAAGTTAAATGTAGGTTTGATGTATTGGTAGTGTTGCTAAGTGTATCGTGTGGTACTGTGTCAAATCAATTGCTGACCTCACTATATCTGTGTATTTCATGCAGGAAGATGTTGACCGTGTGTGTGTGTGGTTATTTCTATTGCCAGTACGCGTGTGTGTATTGCTGAAGAATACTGTGTGTGTTTAATACATCTTAGATGCCCGTGTGTGTGTTACCAGCTGTAATGTGTTTAAGTGTATTACTGATGCCCCTATGTATTAGCGATGTCATTATGTGTGTGTATAAACAAGTGATCATGCGTGTCAAGTACACTACTGGTCTTTGTGTATTCGTCAACGTGTTTGTGTTACTGGTATCGTGTATGGCTATCATCTCCATATATATACAAGGCAAAGTTGTGAATGTGTGTCTGTTCAAAATGTTTAGCGTACTTCCCGACATGCAGCAAACTTGAAATTTTCCATATGGGTACTTTCGAGACTGTACACCATGCAAAAATTATAAAAATACACCAAAAAATGATATATTTTTTGCACGGCAAGTGAGCTGTGACGTCAAATCTGTCACGTGACCCGCGCACGTGGAAGCGTAACGCATTGTGGTGTAGTGGTTAGCGTTGTCTGTGTGTGTGTCTGTGTCTGTGTGTGTCTGTGTGTGTCTGTGCACGTGGAAGCGTAACGCATTGTAGTGTAGTGGTTTAGCGCGCTGCGCTACGAACCCGGCGACCCGAGTTCGATTCCCGCTCCTGGGCCTCCCCTAGGTCGACTCAGCCTCAAACGAGTAACTGCTGTGGTGTGTGAACATCGCCACTGGGGAGACAAAGACGGCCGCGCGTGGTGGATCCAAGTCCCGGGCTAAGCCGGGTAGTAACAGCTAGTTGGTTATAAATGTGCGTTTCGCCTCGGTGGCGTTTAAGATAGTTTTGCCAGGTAACGATGTACAGTACTGGCAAACAATTTTACTGAAATTGGATCTGTGGTCATAAAAGATATTAATGGCCGATGTAATGTAAAAATATTGCATTTAATGAAAACTATTTTATTGGGTGGATCATTATCTCGGGAAAATGTACAAGCAGCACTGAATCTTTGCGAGTAAATGGAACAATTATTTGCGAAATGTGCCCCGCGTGGCCCTGATGCGGTACCCTTGTTAACGCCATTGGTGTTGTGGCATTGTTAGCACTGGCCCAGCATAACAACAATACTAACTTTATGTAACACACTAGCGAGGTAAAAGCCCATTGCTGCTGGAGCAACGGTAGTATTAATAATTACATTAATATCGTGCTTTTACAGGACAGCAGCAGCAGACACTCGGCATTAAAATAATATACATTACAAAAAATCATTGACTAAATGAACTAAAATCTTAATAGGCATAAGTGTATAAATAGGATTTAGAGCGCATTTTCAAAATGTCCACAGACTCGGAGAGATCCCTGATATCTCGTGGAAGTGCGTTCCTGGGGGGGCTACACGGGACCAAGCTTGGTCACCCACAGACCGAATTCTCGACCTGGGAATGCAGAGAAGATCTGCAGCATGCCCAGCTCTTAGGGACCTTGAGGGGACATGGGTGCAGCATGTCAACGATGTAGGCTGGGCCAAAGATGGTGCGGTGGTTTGCGCACTGCGATGGCTTAACATAAGTGGCGAGTGATATCTGAAATGGTCCAGGTATAAACCTCCTTCAGCAAACCCCTGCCCCCTGACTAGCATGGTGAAGTATGGCCAAACACTAATGACCAACGCGGTATGGGGGTGGGGGGGGAGGCCATTATCCAACAGTGGATTTAAAAAGGGCTGTGAATTATTAAGAGATCCATTGAGACCAGAAGTCTTACTTTTTCAAGGGAAACCTGAGTGAACATGTAAAACCTTTTAACAGAAAATGTGTTCTAGTATCTGACGTAACCAATGCCCCTTTTGTAACAAATACACAAAATCCACGTGTCTCATGGGGGTCTTTATCATGCCTATTGTGTTGCATCTGTAAGCAGCTGTTGGGCATTGCACAAAGCGCCTTCGTCCGGGTATTTCGACAGCGACCTGGGGGAAAACAAGGTTATTGTTTGTGGTTATGCAGAGAGAGAGATATGCAAACGGTGGTGTAACTTCAGCTCTGCTGAGTAAAGAATTTTTTTAAAAATCGCAGTTTTCCAGGGCCTTTGTTACATACAACGTTTGTCGGTTTTTGAGTAAAATTTCAATGAAATTTCAATGAAATTTTACGACGTAAATTCTGAGTACATTATTTTAATTGTTTGACGCGTACTACTCACTGGAAAGGTTTCTCAGGGGTTTTGACGTTCCTTTATATTGTAACTGAAGATTTGTACTGTATAACAACATACTTTTAAATTGCAGGAGGTCTGTGAAATATAGCCAAACAGTTTATTGGGCCCTTTCTGCTGAAAGAAATACATTCTATCTACCTATCTAAATCCCATCACTAGACTTAATAGCAACTTATATGAAATGTATGAATTTCATTAGTGCTATTGTCATGCCCATCCATGATGTTCTTCAGTTCTTTCATTTCCCAGTTGGTTTACGCTTCATGTATATATATTTTTATCTATCCCTGAGACTCGCAGATAAGATGCTCGTCAGTACAAAAAAAACTTAAGTTCTAACGCCACGGATGTCACGGTGTTCCTGTAAATGCAACAGTTATTCACTGTTATTCTAAGCCATAGCTTGTGATGGATTTACATCATTCGTTCGTTTCTCATTCTGCTTGTCGGCGGCAGCATTTTGAGTAGGACCTCCCTTTCCCTGGCGACAGACTCTGGCACTAAACTGCTATACACTACTCTATACACAACTACGCTATACACTACACTATACACTACTATACAAAGACTCTAGCTCTTCCTGGGGAATTCCCAGGCGTTCCCAGGCCAGCCGAGCGACATAGTCCCGCCAGCGTGTCCTGGGCCGGCCCCGGGGTCTTCGCCAGGTGGGACGTGCCCCCCGGTACCAGGGAGAGTCTATCCGGGGGGGGGGGGGGGTCATCCTCGCCAGGTGCTCGAACCACCTCAACTGGCACAGCTGATTTATATTTTAGTCGTGGAATTGGGTGTTTATATTCTGATTTTCTTTTGCCAACACGTTATGTATGTCGAATGTGTAGGTTTACATAAAATTGGAGGCTCTTGACCTCTACTTGTGATTTGTAGTAAATTCCCACTTAAAAATAATTTTTTTACATAATAGCAAAGTCTGCTGGGCGATTTTGCCTCAGTCTAAATAACGATTCTGATTCTGTATGTTGAACTGCTTTTGCACCGTTAAGTAGCCAACCGTGCCAATCAGAGGTGCGGGAAAAGTGGTGGCATGCGAAAATCGATCAACGCGAGACACAAAGAGCAGCAAGCCGGCGCTCATGCTCAGACATGAGGAAGTTGGATCACAACGCCACAGTATGGACAATAATTGTTTTAAGAAAATGAAGAACACAATTACCTTCAGAATTGTATTATTTCAGAACTATGGGTCGCTGCAAGTTGGTGAACACCACACCCATGTGTGTATGTAGGGTTCTCACTATTGATTCTGAATGACAAACCAAAGCAACTACCCAAAGCAACTTATCGAAGAGTATTGGGGAGAACCCTCCAAAAATGTGCTGCCAGTCTCCCTTCTTCGAGCGTTATTTGCCCAGAAGGAGAGCCTTAGGCGTCTCAAGATGTTGTTTTAAGACGACACACGCATGGCATATGCAGTGGTACATGTCATCCATGCATCTTTCCGACAAAATGTAGAATGTTGATTGTTCGCTTGTGAATTTAAGTCATTATAGAAGTGTGGAGACCCAGCGCTAAAGTATAAACATGCCCTGCTTATGGATTCATTCAGAATTGTTTTTTATAAATGTTGCGATATTACAACAATTAACCTCTCTTTATCTGTTTGAATCGGACAAATTAGTTGCACGTTCAAATAGTAACAGATGTTCGTGTTGTGTCTTTCATTATCTGCCAGGGCATTCATATATTTTTGTGGAGGTCATAGTTCTGGCATCTGTTCAAGGCAGGCATTCATTTTGGCGCGTACTCATAGCATTTTCAAGGCTGTGTTGCAGCGTACGCATGTGTCTTTCTACGTGTATTAACATGTTTAATGTATGCGTGCCCGTGTGTGTGCAAGTTAATGTATAATGACGTGCTTTTCATGTGTAGCAACGTGTATTATGTACTGCATATTTGAGAGATTTGGTATGCAAGTGTGATTGCGTGGTTATGGTTAGTCTGTCGTTGTGTGAATGTATGCTTTACATGCATATTTAATATATATTCATAATTGAGAATTATTCTTCAGGGATGATAAATCTTGCTTAAAATGAAAAAGGACATTCATCCTACTTGAAGTTATAATATCCCAGTTGTGTTGAAAAAAGGTTTTTCAGATAAAATTGTTAAGGATGATTGCCATCAGCATAGGACGTGGGGACATAGTTCATTTAAAATAGTTTTAACCTGTGAGAGACTGTTTACGTATTATTTAACGAAATTTTATCTGCATCAGTCGGTTCATGAGTTCAATTCATCGTCTATCAGTTTTCACCAGCACGCCGTTGTTCAGATGAAATGTGATGGTGGTGCTGTGTTGGTTGACCTCTGCTTTTCGCTGCAGGGCGGATGACGAAGACATGGGCAGCAGCGGCCAGTGGTCATGCAAACGCTGCACTCTGCTCAACCCAGAGGGGCTCAGCCGCTGCTCCATTTGCGAGAGCCCTCGCATGGAGTGCAATCTAGAGAACATTCTGAGGCTGAGCAATGGGCTTTCTGTGAACAGTGGGTCCTTGGTCGCAGTCGAAAAAACTTTGAATTGTCAAGCGTGTGGTGGCCAGCAGAATGCGCATACGGTAACGCATTGTCAAGCCTGCCAGAATTCACGGACGCTTTTCTCTACAGCCAGTGAGTTGGCACAAGTAGCTAGGACATCGGAAAAAGAAGCCCAACCTCCCGAACAAAAGACAGACGTGTCAAGGGACACTGCCGATGGTATCTGTGGAATGCAGACTGATACACTGCCTGAAAATAATAACACGGTTCTACCGAGTTTGGGAACCGGTCTTCCTTCAGTCGCCAGTGAGATTCCTAAAACAACGTGGGTCTGCAGGTGTTGCACTCTAGAGAACAATATAGCGGATAAAGCGTGTAATGCCTGTGGTGCCCCTGAAAAAGTATCTCTACCAATAATCAGTCCCACTGTATCTGAAATCAATGTCGCAGTTCCCAATGTCATAAACCCACATTCTAGACAAGGTGCAGGGCATAGATTAGTACAAAACACCGATGTTGAAGTGAGTGACCAAGGTGATGAGCCAGAGGCCTTAGACCGGATGATGGAATTTAGCAGTGCACAGTCTCCCAGCTCTCTTAATTTTCCCAAGATGCGCAAAGAGATGCGTCCACACAACGCCCACCATCGCCCATCTCATGCAGCACTGAGGAGCTGCATCAATAGCAATGTAAAGTGTAAGCCTGACGAGTTGGCGGCATTTTTCACCTCCATATCGCCGAGCAATTTCGGTCAGTTAAAATGCGTGAACTGCAGGACAGGAATTCCCGAGGCGTCGACGCAAAATGGAGACTGCAGCAACTGCTCGGCATATGCTCACCCGTATCCAGAGAGCGTCCCGATTGCGGGCAACGTTGGAGAAGCCGAGAGAGAATCTCCGACGCCTGCTCTCACCGCAGAAGGAGGAGAAGTTGTGTCGACGAGCAGGAGTTTCGATTCTGAAAGTCCGGTGGAGCGTCCTGCACTTGTCAGGAGGTTTGATGTCCTTCCCGAGCCGCAGCCAAAAGGAGTTCGAAGGGAAGAACCGGCCAAGCAGTGCACACCCGAGGGTTCAAAGCCCCCAAAATTGTTTGTGTCCGCATCCAATTCCAGCGGTGGAAAAGTCTCTGGAAACAGGAATCGCCCAAATTCTGTAGCAGCCAATGACGTGCCAAGGAGTAGCGAAGCCATTGGTTCGACTGCCAATTTAATTAAGCATAAGCACACCTCTTCCCCAAGCCCACATTTTCTCGTGTGGACCTGTTCACAGTGCACATTGGTGAATTCATTGAAGAATCTTGAGTGTGCCGCATGTAAAGCATCCAAATTGCAAGGGTTGCAGCAACCTCCATCTGTTGGAAAAACTGGCTGGATTTGCAAGCAGTGCACCTATCATAACAAGGCCATTGATACTGTCTGTGCAATCTGTCAGTCAGATCGGAGCAACCCTGGTGCTTGGGTTTGCAGTGTTTGTACACTGCATAACGATGTCAAGGATAAGGTTTGTGAAGCATGCAGCAACCCTAAGCTTAAACCACAGATGAAGAGTATGCACAAATTACAGAGAAGAGAAAGTATTAACATAAATGCTCAGAGGAACAGCGATGAGAAGACAGCAGAAGAGCTTCGTGAAAACATCGTTCAAGCATCCAAAGAGGTGAGACTGCTCGCAACAAATGCCATTCACCATCGTATATACTACACTGGGGGAAACTCATTAACATCGGTCACTTTCACTAAATTTTCAACCGCGGTCAACATTTCTGAATGATCTTGATAAATGTAACACAACATCTAAATTTGAGTCCTTTTGAGAATGTAAGTAACAATATAAATAATCGGACAATATATCTCTCGTCGCTCATGTTAGCCGTGGCCGGGAATCAAACTCGGGGAGCGTGCTAACCACTGCACCACAGCTCCACCTATTACTACAGGTGGGAAATAATTTAGATTTTTAACAACCGTGGTTTGCTACGTATGGTTCGAAAGAAGTTCTACATGCATCACATCCCATCGTGGACGAGAAACTCATGAGTCCAACGCATTGCTGTATCATGAGCATTTCACCATTCTATCATGAAAGGTGGAAAGATTATTTCTGTCTTACAGTCCAGATTGGCTGATATACTATGCCCAAGTTAAAAAGGCAGTTCATGATTGTCGTAATGGTTACCCGTGTCCAATATGATGGATCTTTTTTTCAGTATATACAACAGCACAGCTATTTATTTATTAATGTGAGTGTACATTTTCAGTTATTCAATACATTGGAGCCAGACCTCTTATCTGCTGCTGGATGTGGTGGCAGCATAAGCGTGGGGCGACATAAGCGGGTTGCCTGGGGCGGGAAAATATTTGCGGAAAGAGTTGCACAAAAATGCATTTTAGAGGTGACGCCCCCCCCCCCCCCGCCACTATTTCCCCCCACAGATTTTTCAGCGATGCCTAGGGTGCTCGTAAACTCGGCGCGGCCGGCCCTGTCATGGTGCATTTGCAATACGCCACACAGATATTCATGTATAAAATAATAAATGTATGCGCGTGTTTGTATTGCGTAAAGCAGTACCCGACGTGTGGTCCGCAGGCCACTGGTGACGTGCAACGCCGTGGGAAGTGAGCCGTGGCACGGTTGCGGATATTATTTTTTCACAACACCCATGTGGTTTTTTTTTGCGTGGAAGTCTGTGAAAAGGTTTTGAGGGTTTGACAGTGGTCCAGGGCCACAGAAAGGTTTGGGAACTACTGGGTTTTTTTTTGTCGTCTCCAGCATGATTTAATGAGGTGGGGTGAAAATATTCGTGGTTTTCAGTATTAGGTAAGAAACATCACTTGTGGTTTATGGACTTTCTGGGTCATTGTGTGTCATTGGCGATTGAACAACATTTCTCAGTGGCTCTTTCATTTCCCCCTTTAATGGTGTCCCGGTTCATATCGGCTGCCCGTAAGGCGACGTGCGATGTGTCAAATCGAGTCATGTCTCCCCAGGTGTCGCTTTCATTTCCAGTTCATGTATTGGTCCATTACTCTTTTCGCTGCATTTCCTTCATGTTGATTATTTTTTTTTATTCAGTCGTCATGTTGTTTTTACAGTTGATATGATTTTATATCTTATCTACGTGACTTTATCGACCCAAAGAGTGATTTTATACTCATCAAGAATATTCTCATGAGGTTTTACATTTTAAATTCAACGCCTGTAAACAAAATACATGGGGCGGAGCAGTGGCATCGGGGTTCGTACATTGCCCTATGAACCTGGCAAACTGAGTTCGATTCCCAGAAATAGTTAACGCGAGTGGGGAAATATCAGAACCAGTCCTGGTAAATTCTCACCCCTATTTCACTAATAGGCACTGACTAAACTGGCGAAGTATGGTTAAACATACTTTGCCAGTGTGGGGAGGCCTGTATCTACCAGTGGATTGTACATTCTTATAATTAAACAAGAATGCGTCCCTTTTAAAGCAGAAGTTGAATCCAGGCAAACAAATGACTGCATATTAACATTTTCTAAAAGTAATGTATTAAATACAATAAGTCTTCCACTGAGAAATGTTGTTCAATCGCCAATGACACACATTTGTTCATTTAAGTTGTGATTTCCATGTCATCTTTTCAAAGATAAATTGGGTTTTTCGTACTGAAGTCCATTGAAACTGCTGTTATCTGTGACAATGTTTGGGTACGAGGTCATAGATCAGCAATTTAGTGAATTACAAAAGTTGTCCTTGGAGTGTCTTAACGATCCAAGGGTCGTGTTACCTACGCCGCCCGCCCGAGGCTCTAAACTCTGCGTCACTCAAGTGCCATCGCGTACAGTGACCTCGCATTACACACGTGCACGGCTCTGTCGTATGTGAGGATGTTGAGAACCTGGATGGAAGATGCGTTAATTTGAGAATGAGAGAGGAAATTTTGATTTAAAGCTTTCGTGACTGCAGTCATTCATATTCTTAGCTCTTTCGGTAAAGTCACGTTGAAGGGAAACAATAAAATAATGAAATATATAAAACAATAACAAATTCTCACGACGTTTCGACCGTTTGTGTTATGGTCGAAACGTCGTGAGAATTTATTGTTGTATATATATTTTATTATTTTATTGTTTCCCTTCAACGTGACTTTACCGAAAGAGCTAAGTATAATAAAAATGAGAGAGGAGTTAACCTCAATCGTGTAATTGCTCCGTGGGCCGTGACTGATCTGCGTCATCCCAAGGTTGTTGCCGCCGTGCCACGTCGCCCAAAGAAAACGTTTAATTTTATGAACAACTTATAATAATAACAATGTGCTAAGGCTTATTAAAGAAACCAGTATGAATATTGCATTGGTACACCATTGTAGTTACAGAGGCTTTTCATGAACATGCCTTATGAGATAAGCTAACCTTTTGATAAAAAATACTTGCCTTAAATATAAATAAGTAACGAACATATGTGCTTTCAAGCATATAACAAACACAAAAATCCCCCATATAGCCTGTAACAGACTTTTGGGGCAAGTGCTGTTAACGAGCACCTATAAAGGCCGGCATGGCACACTAGGGGTGTGGGTGACCAGCACCACGCCCGGCCGCCTTTGTCTCCCCAGTGGCGATGTTTACTACACACTGCACTGGGTACTCATTTGAGGCTGAGTCGACCTCGGGGAGGCCCAGGACCGGTTCAGATAATCGTCACCGGTGTTGGCCGTGAGCGGGAATCGAACTCGGGTTGCTGGGTTTCGTAGCGCAGCGTAGCGCTAACCGCTGCACCACCGCTCAAGCATATACTGTACACACTCACGAACGTGTGCTTTGGTTTTTGTATTCTGCACTTCTCCCGTCCCCGCCGCTGCGCCAGCCGCGCTCTGCACCTCCACCTGGCTCCTTCGCCCCTCCTGCTTGGCACTATTATATTTTCCTTCATTATGTTCGCATGCAACATCCTCTGCCGATTTGATTCCTTTTCACAATTCATGGTTGCAAATTGATTGAGGGTTGCAATTCGATTCAAATTTTAACCATCTGATATGTACAATTTTGGTTTACTTCATTATCCTAAATATACCAGCATATCTTATGCATATCATTTGCATAAATTATACGTTCATACATGCAACATGATTGATATATGCATAAGATTATTTTATTATTGATACATTGATGGGACATTAGATGCATACAATTTAGTATTTTGGCATCTGCTCAATGTTCAGAAAAGGTTCATTATGTAGTCAAATGTTTGGTTTTCCAAACATTCAGTGTATCAGCATTTAGAATCAACATCATTCGTATTTGGCCTGCTATACATTTCCACGTGATAAGCCACTTCGTCGAGCTATCATTTGTGGCCAGGTCGCTTCTGAACAAGACCTATAAAGCTCAGTGGGCCTTACCTGGTAAAACAATAAATAGTTTAGTTTATAAATATATATACAGTAGACTTTTGATTATGCGCTTGCGTTTTATCTGATTTGCGGATTAACCGTGCACCTGAGATTTTGACAAATTAATAAATCATGGATTTTCCCATAAGCCCAAATTAATAATCTTAAAACAGTTATACATTGATATTATTGGAAATGTTTATTGCAAGTCACGTGCTTAAACTGAAGAAATATGTGCTCCGCTAAAACCAAAATCCACACGATTGCCTCTACAGTACAGTAGTTACGTAGCTTTACAACAGTGGGTGGAGTTTGATGTTGATTGGCGTGGCTCTGCTGTCCACTTAGTGGGCCGAGTTATCTGCACGGGAGCAGGAAAGTGTTATCAATGAGCATTCCCATCGATCGGTCGATCGTAAGTAATAAAACGATCAATACATTATTTTCTACAAGTGTTTCGTTCATTAACAAACACAATTTTCTTAACTTAAACAAAATTTATACCTATATTAGTGTTTTCTGGCATCGAGATCCGCGGAAAATGGATATTTTTGGATTATCCACGGTTTTGTATTATCCGAGGCCCATCGTCACCATCATGAGCGCGGATAATCGAGAGTCTCCTATATACACAAATTACCCCATCCCTACTCTTTGGTTCTATTCGGTAAAGTCACGTAGGTAAAAATAAAATAACAAAAATCACGACGTTTCGGCCACAACACAAGTGGCCTTCATCAGGTGAAGGGACCGGACTGTCCAGAGGACAGCGTTAGAGTGAAGACAGCCAAGCCCAGGTCGAGTCCTTTAAGCTGTGTGGGAGGAAACAAAAAACGCCTTGACAAAGGAATTAGCATAAAATGATCTACTGGACCGGCACGGTGGGGGGGGGGGGGGGAGTTTACATAATGTTGGTGTGAAGTGAAAACAGGTCCCTGCAGGGTGGGCTGGTAGGAACATTGGAATTTTGCGCAATTTTATTTTTACACCCCAACAGCGCGAGATTTCACTTCGTTAAAGTATTGAAAGGGGACGGACGGACGGACACATTCATCTATTGCAGGCTGGTACACTCAGTTTACAACTTCGTTCCTACCAGTATAAGCTGCTGTGAAAGTTTAGGATACCACTACTTGAAAAAATATACTGTACCATTGAAAATTAGTTTAATGTTTGGTTTGATTTAGAACATCTTTCCAATGATTGCTTAATTTGAAACGATCCTCTCGGTTAAAATTGTGTCTGTGTTTGTAAATCTGAATTGCCTCGTGGACATCCCATCCCTCTCACCAGCGATGAGGGGCGCGATGCTACGGTCCCTTTGGGGCAGCGATTGTGTTCATCTTGGTCACTTGAGCTTGAATGCAACTGGTGTGATCCAACCCTGTGGTGTGACCTTGTTTAGAGGGGCGCGATGACACAGTCTACGTTATAAACAACGGACCGATGTTAACCCGCTGAACAGAATAACGTCCATTCTGCTCTGGCTCGTATCCACTGCCTATGAGGAAACACCGTGACGAACTCTCACTCAATTAAACTCGTATTTGCTGTTTGACCCCAGCCACCTGCATCAATTGCAGACACTTTTGTAGTCAAATAGTTTTAATATGAAACATTTTTATAAAGTGAGATTCACCTTCAGTCGCGTTGTGGTGGGGTGCCGCCTCCTCCTCTCGCTCCTCTGGCACTACTGGGCTGGCGTGATGTTGCCTCGGTAAGTGCAGGCTCCCCCCCCCCCCCCACTCCCCGTGTGGCTAATGAGACGCAATGCTCCTCTTTGTTTTGCTGCAGACCGGAGTGAACTTTGTGGATGACAGCTTCGTGCCTGGCAAGAAGTCCCTGGGCTCGAACTTGGAGAGCTCCATCGTGCAGCGTGTGGCACACTGGCTGCGGCCTACGCAGATCACGTGCGCGCCCCACGAGACGACCATCCCCTGGGTCGTGTTCCGCACTCCGCGCCCCAGTGACATATTGCAGGGCCTGCTGGGAAACTGTTGGTACGCTCCGTACTCCTGTTCTTGACGAGTCTGCTACTTAGTGTGTCATATGCACGCTGTCCATAAATGTATTATCCGTTATTATAGAATTATTAGATGACAGATCTAGGCCAATAAAACTGCACGCACAGCGATGGTAATATGGTGATGTTATCGCACAAGTCTCATTCCTGTAACCATCCACGTATCTGCCGCGGAGTTGGTTACGTGCATCGTATCGAGAATTGAGAGATTCCTAGGTGTTTGCCAACACCCCAGCTGTAAATGTTTCAAACGCTTCTGTTATGTTCTGTTGGAAGGTAACTCGAGCTATTTGGTTTAAAAAAAAGTGTTCTAGTATTTCAACTACATAGCTAAGACTGTTGTATTTTATATTTAATAACGAATGATAGATTTGTGGACACATTCCTAACATTGTTATCTGCCGAGCGAGTTACCACTTGATAACGTGATAAATAGCCGAATGGGTTTTACTCATGAAATAGCACGGTTAGCTACGTACGGTGTGAAAGAAGTTCAACATACATACAAAACGTCTAGTTCTAATCTGTTTCTCCAGTTGTGTGTGTGAAATTACTGATGAACACATAGCTAAGATAACTTTTAGTAATATTCTGCGTGCATAATTTTGTCGAGAAAATTATTCTCTTGGTTAATCTTCTATTAATGTTTTGTAAAGTATGTCTCAGTATGCTCCTATCAGGCTGTAAAGTAAGTTCACAATGATCACGATGACAACTTAACTTATTTTTGGATTTCCAAAGTTGTACATTGTGATCCTTACTCTTTTTTTAATAGGAGTTATGAGACCTACTCGAATTACACATCAGAAGTGGGTCACTCCTGTCTTCTCGCGGCACCCCCACTCAACACTCTGTCGTCTTGAAGATTGTTTTGGATGCCTAAAGCAATGAAGAGGAGCTCGTTCTTTTCATTCATTCATTTTTTTGTGTGAACTGCATTGTTCAGGTTTCTGAGTGCCTTGGCTGTGTTGGCTGAACGACCACAACTTGTGGAAAGGGTTATGGTGACCAGGCAGATTTGCCCAGAGGGAGCCTATCAGGTCAGAGCTGCATGACATGTTATCAGACGAGTGGTAATTCGTTTTTTTAAACCACTGATGAAATAGCTTTGAAAATGTACGGTCTATTAAATAAAATATTTTTGTTAAATTGTTGAATTGCAAATTCCATATTTCTGTGCAATGTTTCGTTATCCCGATGAGATACACAATCATACCCAGTATATTTGAATTTCCAAAAAATAAGACTACATATATAAAGTATGAGTAAAAAAAAGGTAAACTGTCAACCCTACATCTACTTGTTTGTGCCATTACTGGCAGAAGAGCTTCCACTAGAGCCCCTGTACAGGGTATTTGGCCTACTCTTCACCGCTGGCCACACATCTCGGAAGAGGTGGCAGTAGCCACACTTTACCCTGCCGTACGCGACATGCTGTACCCATTTCATATACGGGCCGGGTGGATTTAATAAACTTGCTCATTGATTTCAACTGCCCGCGCCTGGAGATCGAACCGACGCCCATCTGGATCGTGCGCCCCTCCCCCCACCCTCGTTTAACAGCGAAACCTCGCGGTACCGTCTCCTGTGATGACATCGTCACCTGTCCCCCTTGCTCCAGGTGCGTCTGTGTAAGGACGGTGTGTGGCAGACGGTGTTGGTGGATGACATGCTGCCGTGTGACGACAACCGCTGCCTCCTGTTTTCCCAGGTCCGTTGTTTATTTTCTCCACGTCGCTGTCGATTTTTCAAGTGACCTCGTGCGTCACGTGAAATGTCGCTCGCGAACAATTGCTCCCGCTTCTGCCTCGCCACTGATTATTTCACTTGCCTGCAACAGAAGCGGCAGATTAACAGATTCACAGTGGACAAGGTTGCTTTTGGCTTTGTGTTGTTATTATGAGTTAGTACGGCAATATAAATTTCACTTGTCAGGTAGAGTAAACCTTACTGTTTGTTAAATTGTTTCCAAACGTAATCTGATCTTGATAAATAAATAATGGAGTATTCTGCCATTGGGCTGTTGGATTAGCAATGTCGCCAATTTGTTAGGTTCAAAATCTATTTATTTTCCCAATATTTCATTTTTCATGAGCAACAGAGCAAATGAGCCAAATCCATTGTTGTGCTATACTTCTATGCTGCCATATATATGCTCTGTGCCTTAACCAACCCACACCTACAAGCATGGTGAAGTTTAGTGAAAGAACCCACACAATATGGGGAGGCCCTCATCAAGCAGTGGATTGACTAAGTGTTTGTAAATGTGCTTTCATGCATTATGAACGGTGAACTTTTTTCCCATAATTGAAATTTATCGGGAGTTGCCTATTCGGACGAAGTTTGAAACGCACTGTCGTTTCAAGTAGGCCAATGAACATTATCGTGCACAACCATTCCCGGTTGGTGCACGACGCACGCTCTTGTCGCACGAGACCGTGTTCCGCATGTCGACGACGATGGCTGCGTTGTGCCGTGGTGCGATCAGGCCCAGCGGAAGCAGCTGTGGGTGCCTCTCATCGAGAAGGCGCTGGCAAAGTTGCACGGCTCCTACAATGCCCTGCAGGCTGGCCGCACCATCGAGGGGCTGGCCACGCTGACGGGCGCGCCCTGCGAGAGCGTGCAGCTGCAGCCCAGCCCCATCTGCCCCAGTGAGCCAATTGACACCGACCTCATCTGGGCCAAACTTCTCAGCAGCAAGGAGGCAGGGTGAGCGTCTATTCCATTGCATAGCGTCTTGGTTTTTTGTGTGAAACTATCCTCGTCTGAGTGCTCACCTGGTTCAACTAAATAAACTTGTGTTCGACGAACAATACTGCAAGTCAAAACACTTCTCTTTCCCCTTCTCCACATGCACTACCCAACTTTGGAATTCCCTTCGATGTGCTCTATTCAAGATTTCTATTTTATTTATTTTGCGCTCTGCGTATCAATTCTTATCCATTACAATTGTAATGGTGCTATCTGTTTGTTGCTGGCCGCATGGCATCTTAGGCCTCTGGGCTTCTGCTCGGCCACCGTGGATAAGAAAAGCCCCAGCTGTGTGAGACACGGCGCTTATTCTGCTTTGTCCATATGGCAAGGGTGGGGGGGGGGCAATCATTGCTGAGGGTCAGACAGAACTTTCAAATACCTTTCATCGGACAACAACACATTAATAACGGCACAATAAATGTAAATCTTTACAGGTGACGAAGCGCTCTAAAATTAGAAAGTGTGGCCGAGATGCTTGCAGTGATGGATGAATTTTGTTTGCTGGCTGTTGAAAGTGGTAAGCCTTCTGTGGCTACAGGCCATATGATTGGGGCTGTAGATTTCCCACCCCTGCCATGAATGCGTGGATAATAATGCCACACAGCCCTGTGCTGTCCAACTGGTTCGCACTGTGATGTTGGATCGTTAAACGTAACCACTGTTTTCAAGTGAATGTGGAAGTCATGTGAATATCCATCAAATCCCCACTTATGGGAATATAACATTTCCACGACTGGCTCCGGGCCACCAAACAGATTTCCACCACCTGATGCTTTCGCCAGCAGTGAGACAGTAAATGTCTTCGGTAGTGTCTAAAAAAACCCAGAAAGTTTATTTGAAGTATAGTTTGTACTAAAAAAAAAAGTCACAACGCATTTGATGAACTCTAGCGAGTCTTTGTAAAGTGCCGATGTTTTTCTACTGGCTGCTGTATCAGCTTCTTGATGGGGGCGTCATGTGGCGGAGGGAACATGAAGGCGGACGAGACTGAGTATGACCGCGTGGGGCTGCGACCAAGGCACGCTTACTCCATCCTAGATGTGCGAGACATCGAGGGCCACAGGTAAGCCGGGGGTTCGGTGCAGAAACCAAATGTTGCGATTGTCTGCTCAGGGTCGATTAAACCGATGTTAATTTGTAGGTAGTCAATGGCCATTGTCCTCAGGGATGTACTGAACCATGACATGGGAATGTGAAATTTCCCGCACTGGCTCAGGGTAGCCAGTAGTGTTGAGCACAACCCCCATCAGTCAATGGAGCAGCATTCTGGTAAAGGTGCAGCCCTGCAAGTGCTTATTCACACCACTGCTGGCAGCAAGGCCTCCACTTGAGGGAACTTGAGAACTCCCTTGGGGGGGGGGGGGGGGGGTGGGGGTAGTATGTTTGGCTACTTTTTTACCTTGAGAACCTTCGGATGTTGTTACCAAATTGCGCAGAACGTGAATTTTTACATTCCCTTGCAGTGGCAAATAGTCGGAGTGCGCGCGTGTTTTCTGTCCCCTAAGCGAGTCGCTTCGTAGAGCAAAAACTGGCGGGAAGAGTGCCGATGTGTGATGGGAACGCGTGGATGTGCAGACTGATGAGGGAAGAGTGCTCGTGTGTGACGGGACACGTGGATGTGCAGACTGATGAGGGAAGAGTGCTCGTGTGTGACGGGACGCGTGGATGTGCAGACTGATGAGGGAAGAGTGCTCGTGTGTGACGGGACGCGTGGATGTGCAGACTGATGAGGGAAGAGTGCTCGTGTGTGACGGGACACGTGGATGTGCAGACTGATGAGGGAAGAGTGCTCGTGTGTGACGGGACGCGTGGATGTGCAGACTGATGAGGGAAGAGTGCTCGTGTGTGACGGGACGCGTGGATGTGCAGACTGATGAGGCTGCGCAATCCCTGGGGCCGCTTCTCCTGGAATGGGCCGTGGTCCGACAACTCCCCCGAGTGGACCCCTCAACTGCGTACGGAACTCATGGCGCACGGCAACAGCGAGGGCGTCTTCTGGATGAACTATGATGACTTTAAACGGTAAGTAAGGATACATGTGCCAGGATGGCGTTGTGCTGTATTGGCTCGCACACTTGACTGGCTATCGCGGGGTAACCGGTTTGCTTTTCTGGCGCAGCAGTTGCAACATTGAGAGATGCTTGTATGCCCCCCCTGCCCCTGTCCACCTAGCAGTATTATAAATGGTCACACCGCAGTCCATCAGCAGGTTACACGGGGTGGGGAAAAGTGTGGGTGCTCTCACCTCTTCCAAGACGTCTGGGGATGCATGGAAGAGTAGGCCAAAACACCCTCTGTGGGGCTAACCAGAGTTACCTGTAGTTGCTGCTCTTCCACCAGCACTAGTTGGTGTACGAAAGTCATTGCAGAGCTGCTATTTAGTTTATTGGCACTTTGGTAAAAAAAAAAAAAGCTTTTTGAGAGTTTGGGGTTCAGCTCTTTCCAACCGTCCAACAGTGTACCATAATCACATTAGCCACCAGGAATTTTGTCCAACATGTTTTTCTCTCTCTCTCTAACTGGTACACCGCCGCCCTGGGGGAGGCCTTAATCCAGCTGTCAATTGACAAAGGGCTGTCTTTTTAAGTTTGGTTATTGTTTTTCTCTTCTTGTGGGGCAAGATTTTCTGCGGTCTGATAGGGTGGCTGCGCATTGTTTATGTGGGTGTAATGAACAATGTTCCCCTCGGCAGGTTTCCAGATGTCAATTAGGCTTGGCTCAGAGAGGTGTTAGGCAGGCATTGTATTTAACCATCTCCTTACCCAGAGATTGCGACGTCTGTGGCCTTGTGGCAATTACTTTTAGGTTCCTGCAGTGATAAAAAAAAATTCATAGAGTTGAATTGTATTGTAAGCTCACACTTCTATTTACCCATAATTCTAATGGATATCGCAGCTGAAGCTGGAATGGCCAACAATGAGTTTCAGCAGTGTGGTTTATGTTTAAAGTATGAAAGGCATTTGACAGAAAACTGATCTCTTTAAAGTAGTTTTTGAAAGTTGCGTTGGGCTGAGCTCCAAAACATCTCTCAGGAAAAATGTTTTGGCTGGAGTTCCATTTCTCCTTAATCTGCAAACGTTATAATATTCAAACAGCAGGTTACCACTTGCATAGCATTTTCCCTATAAGTGTAGGTAGGATAATAACTCTGTAAAACTAAACTATTTTGTATTTTACCAGGTAAGGCCCACTGAGCTGTATAGCTCTTTTTTAGGAGCGACCTTTCTACAAGTGATAGCTCAGCAAAGTGGCTTATCAATGTGGAAATTTATAGCAGCCAAATGTTCTAAACGCATGTTTCTAAATGTGGATGGAAAAACTGGCTTGAGAGTTGGGGTTGAACCCACAACCTCCTGCATACCAGGCGACTAAGTTAACATCTCACCACCGCGGCTCCCCAAATACGTTAATGCGCGACAATGGAGTGAAAATACTTTCTGGTCAGATCCTGTATTCAGTTCCTATACTAAAAGGAAAATTAAAATGTTCAACTTTTTGTTCATCTTTAATTTCATTTTTTTTGTTACATGAGCGCGAGTAGGACAGTTCAAGATAGGGAAAGTCCATAGGAGGGATAGTGTTATGGATTAGCTCTGGGAACGATTCAAAGCTCCAAGAGGAATGTTACTTAATCATGGCATCTGTAGGTTGTTCCACACCACCTCACATGCAGGGTGTAATAAAAAATATGCATCACACTCCACTCTGGATTTTGTTCCATTTTAGAGATCTTCAGTTTTGTACCTGGGGAGCAAAGTTAGGTCTAAAGGCATCTGGGAGTAGACATCATCATTATCGTGAACATTGTCAGTGATCTCCATCGACCTGATCATCATGATGATCTTCATTCTGAACATCGTCATTCTCATGTAATATTTAAATTATCTTGGCATTTTCATAAATTTTATAGATCTACAGTGAGGGAAAAAAGTATTTGATCTCCTGCTGATTTGCACGTTTGCCGACTGACAAAGAAATGATCAGTCTATAATTTTAATGGTAGGTTTATTTGAACAGTGAGAGACAGAATAACAATAAAAATAATCCAGAAAAACGCATGTCAAAATGTTATAAATTGATTTTAATTTTAATGAGGGAAATAAGTATTTGACCCCTCTGCAAACATGACTTAGTACTTGGTGGCAAAACCCTTGTTGGCAATCACAGAGGTCAGACGTTTCTTGTTGTTGGCCACCAGGTTTGCACACATCTCAGGAGGGATTTTGTCCCACTCCTCTTTGCAGATCTTCTCCAAGTCATTAAGGTTTCGAGGCTGACGTTTGGCAACTCGAACCTTCAGCTCCCTCCACAGATTTTCTATGGGATTAAGGTCTGGGGACTGGCTAGGCCACTCCAGGACCTTAATGTGCTTCTTCTTGAGACACTTCTTTGTTGCCTTGGCCGTGTGTTTTGGGTCATTGTCATGCTGGAATACTCATCCACGACCCATTTTCAATGCCCAAGATTTGACGGTACATAGCCCCGTCCATCGTCCCTTTGATGCGGTGAGGTTGTCCTGTCCCCTTTGCAGAAAAACACCCCCAAAGCATAATGTTTCCACCTCCATGTTTGACGGTGGGGATGGTGTTCTTGGGGTCATAGGCAGCATTCCTCCTCCTCCAAACATGGCGAGTTGATCTTCTTTGGTTCTTTCGGTAAAGTCACATAGAATGAGAATAAAATAATAAATTGATAAAATAAAATAACACAATAATAATATATAAAATAAAATAACACAATAATATTTTATCAATTTATTATTTTATTCTCATTCTACGTGACTTTACCGAAAGAACCAAAGAAGATGAATCATTGCAGTCACGAAAGCTTTAAATGGCGAGTTGAGTTGATGCCAAAGAGCTCCATTTTGGTCTCATCTGACCACAACACTTTCACCCAGTTGTCCTCTGAATCATTCACATGTTCATTGGCAAACTTCAGACATTGACAAGATCCTACCGTGTAGTTCTGGGCTGATTCCTCACCGTTCTCATGATCATTGTAACTCCACGAGGTGAGATCTTGCATGGAGCCCCAGGCCGAGGGAGATTGACAGTCATTTTGTGTTTCTTCCATTTGCGAATAATCGCACCAACTGTTGTCACCTTCTCACCAAGCTGCTTGGCAATAGTCTTGTAGCCCATTCCAGCCTTGTGTAGGTCTACAATCTTGTCCCTGACATCCTTGGAGAGCTCTTTGGTCTTGGCCATGGTGGAGAGTTTGGAATCTGATTGATTGCTTCTGTGGACAGGTGTCTTTTATACAGGTAACAAGCTGAGATTAGGAGCACTCCCTTTAAGAGTGTGCTCCTAATCTCAGCTCGTTACCTGTATAAAAGACAGCTGGGAGCCAGAAATCTTTCTGATTGAGAGGGGGTCAAATACTTATTTCCCTCATTAAAATGCAAATCAATTTGTACAATTTTTGACATGCGTTTTTTTATTGTTATTCTGTCTCTCACTGTTCAAATAAACCTACCATTAAAATTATAGACTGATCATTTCTTTGTCAGTGGGCAAACGTACAAAATCAGCAGGGGATCAAATACTTTTTTTCCCTCACTGTATGTTTTCATTAGTTTACAATTTTCCACTACGTTTATAACATTTCTCAGTCGGGTTCTTAATGGTTTATTGAACAGATGCATGAATCAAGCTGATTCTAAATGCTTTTGTAACTACATTGGCTTACGTGACAATTAGTATGCTGCCGGCTGAGTGATGTGGCAGAGAGTCTCATTATAATGTTAAGGTGCGTTTGAGCATAACACATTTTAGTCGATGCATGCCACATGCTAAAATTGTGGGGGGGGGGGGTGTTTATTTTCATCGCTAATACTCAGTATTGTTCAGTTTTTACAAAACATTGAAGGCACTTTGAATGGCCTGTTTTTGTGCAAGGTATTACGAAAGCGTGGACATCTGCAAGACGCACCCGGACTGGAATGAGGTGCGGCTGCCAGGCACCTTTCCCGTGTCCCACGGCAGGCCCATCTCTGCCACGCTCGTCAGCGTGTTTTACCACACGGAGGTAGATTTGACCCTGTTTCAAGAAGGTGCCAGGTGAGCTCCGCACATTTCGTTACATTATTTGCTCAGAAAAATAAAACGTTAGAGTAAAATAGCTTAAATTTGTCTCGTATGTATTCACCAAATATTCACGGTGGGTCATGACAGTGTTTGGATGTGGCACCGTCATCACGTGCAACGGCTTGTTTTTGGTCCTGGGGGGGTTCCATGGTGGGTAGGAGAGGGCAGTTCAGCAAATGCAATTGTTGTATTTCACTTATAGAAGTGTCCAAATAAATAACAAGCCGATTTTTTTAGCTGTCATTTGTGGCCAGGTTGCTTTTGAAATATAAGTTATTGCCTCAGTGGGCTTTGTCTAGGAGGATGGGCATGGTTTAGTGTTGTATTTGTTTGGGTGATTTGTTTACCTCTCCTGTACTTTGCACTCCTATCGTGTTTTTGTACTGTTTGTTGTTGTAACGTTCTTACCCACCCCGACTTGACATCTGTGAAAAAGAGTTATCGAGCTCATCGGATTCCTCCAGTATAAATATTCTTATTCTGATGATATGTTCCCCACTTTGACCGACCTGCACTGACCAGCACGGCGAAGTTTGATCCAATAACCCCATGACCCGTGTAGCTTGGGGGGAGGCGCTCCAGCAGCTGGCTGACAATGGTCTCCTGTAATGATGGTCTACCGTTGTTCCTGCATGAGAGTTTGACAACTTTTTTTCCCCACTTCGTTTAACCTAACCATGATTCTACCACAATATGAATGTTAGACATAATATCAATTCGTTGATTAAAATTGAGTCTTGCACTCGGGATACTTCCACCAAATTGTGTGCATAGGATAGATTGCGATTCACAGAAGTTTTGTCAACGTTTTCTTTAGGTAAATAGAATGAACAAGACGACACAGATAAGACACTACCAATGAGAGAGTTGGGTACAAACGAAACTTAAATATATATTTTAACTCAGTTTTTACAATTTATAGATTTTATGGTGGTGAGAGGAATGAATCAGAACATGCCAAATTAATTTTCGTGGCATGATTAATGACGGTTAACCCACGCACCAGATAATGTTAGCAGGCGCTGTGCAGTAGGCTTAAACAAAGCGGCCTGTTTAACATGTGGCAAAATCAGTTGTGTGTTTTTATTCTCGAGGTCGTCTCTCGGCAAAACACGTTTTTGTTTTTTGCCGTGCAGGAGGGGAGACGACGTGGAGGGAAACATTCTGGATCTGTGCATTGTCATCTACCAAGTCACCACAGACAAAAAAGAGAAGATGTGTTTGGAGAAGGTCATTGTGCACAGCCAGAGGGCTGTGAAGAAGTTTGTGGGCTGCAGCAGCATGCTGGCTCCTGGCCAGTACGCCATCATTTGTCTGGCCTTCAACCACTGGCAAACCGCTGGTCCCACCTCACCCAATTCCCCGACAGGTGGGGCTGGGATGTTACTGCCTTCTCTTCTTTAGTACTCTGGACAACGACAGCTCTTGGGCTCAAACACCATGCATCCTCCATAAAAAGAGGTGTTTGGGTTAGATCGCATAAATGCAAATGCATCGTTAAACCCGCCACCACCCGACACAGCTAATTAGTAAGGTTGGTCACGTAAACAGAACGTGCCAATTCGTGACGAGTACAGCACACGGGTGTGTTGGAGAGTAAACCCACAGCATTTACATTTTGAGTAGGACGTTTCGCCAGTAATTACAACCAGCATAATCAGGCGACAGCCAGAGTTGTGGAGAAATCCTGATGTCGTCACTTGTGAGCCATTGCATTACATAACCCACATCTATCCTGTCCGATCGTGAGCTGTCTTCTTCATTTCGCTTGTTACCTTCCCCTCCCCCACTTTCTCATGTTCAGTACTTTCCTTATCATGCCTCTTGGCCTCTTTGTCAAAATCCATCCCTGCAGAAACCATCAAATTGTAATTGAGTCCACTCAATCCTGAACCTGTTAATTTTCTTTTTGCTTTCTCCATTTTAGGGATATTTTGGTGTCTCTGTGAAGTATTTGATAATTGGTAAAAATAAATGGATTGTGAAAATAGATGTTTTTGTTGCCAATAAAGGCCGATGAATAGAATGCTTAAAGTGTGGTGAAAAACACAAGGTTATGTTTTTAAAATGTACTTAGTACATGAAATCTAGAGGTAAATTATTTAATGATATGCATGATGGACTTTATTTTGTTATTACAGGTATTATGACAATAAGGTATTATACAATGTAATGCCAATGTTATACAATCATAATTAATGTCAAGCTCCATGCAATGACTCACATTGATGTAAGAATAGCTTTTTAAACACTGTACATAGTTACTGTCAAATATCAGAGTCATTAAGCCCAACAAAGACTAAGATGCCCCATATAGCCTTAAACTTTTGGGGCAAAGTACTGTTAGCGATTACCAAAGAAGGCCTGTTCGGTACACGAGGTTGTTCAAATGGAAAACTTTCATTTGTATGTAATAACTTATCTGTGAGGGGGGGGGGGGGGGGGGTACAAACGACAGGCGACTTGAGGATCCTAATGAGGTTTAAATGTCTCTCGCAACGTGTTCAAAACAATCCTGTCCGTACTTGCAGGCAAGCTGCTGAGTCCCTGCAGCTACATCCTGGCCGTGCACAGCTCCAAGCCCGTGTTTGTGGAGCAGCTGGTGCTGCCCCCCAGTGTGCTGGCCAGCGCCGTTATTAATTTAGCCGTCAGCAAGGGGCAATGCCATGAGGTGAGCTGAACGAACGTCGGGGGGAGGGGTGGGTGCGTTGGCTAGTGGGCCCCCCACTTTTTTTATTCACGCGCGGTTAGCGAAAGCGTGGCGACCGATGGGGGGGGGTGCCCTGTTATGCCCGATGGGGCAGATTGCCATGGCAATATGCGGTTTCAACCGTTTTGTCACGATGTGAATTATGCAGATGGCAAGGGACTTGTGCGCTGGCAGTGGTGTACAGAGAGGGTGCAGTGTTAATGATGGTGATCATTTTATTTTTTGGTTTGGGTTGGCCTTTTGGCATCTGATAAAGGTTTTTTTTTCCCCTACACATTACCCTTATTAATTTTAAAACATCCATCTTCGAGCACTATGATGTTCATCGCATTCGATCAGGTTCGAAGGTGTTGCTTATTTGTCCGAGTGTGCTGAAGTCGTGAATTTTATGATTGTGATCAACTTAATCTCGTATTTGCAATAATAGTAAGTGGTAATTTCATTTATAGGCCTCCACAAACGTAAGCATCAGCATTTGTTATGCCGAGGATTCGCGATGGTATTTTTAAAAGATTTTAATATTCCGGAATATTTTTGTCTTTGTATGAGGCAACATTGAGAAGTTAACCTCATTTGCCAGTAACAAAATATTGTTTTTTTACCCTTTTATCTGGCAACAAAACTGACACCTTTTTTACAAGGAGTCATGTTTACATTGACCACAATACCTTCGGTCGGGACGCAAACAAAAAACAACAACTCTGATAATGTATGCACTGTGGTGCATTGTCTTTGGTCCAACACCATTTGAGACGAGGCTCTAAAGAAAGCCATCTCGGGTGTGGACCAATCAATTTCAAGGACGGTGCATACATGATCAGAGTTGTTTTTTGTTTGCGTTCCGACCGCAGGCTTTGTGGTCAATGTAAACATGACTCCTTGTAAAAAAGGTGTCAGTTTTGTTGCCAGATAAAAGGGTAAAAAAACAAATATCATATTTTGTTACTGGCAAATGAGGTTTCCAATGGTGTAAATACTTACCCCGAGCTCTCATACTCTGATGGTGCATTACCTTTGAGTTGTGCGCCTTTTGCCGTCTTCTGGTCCAACACCATGTGAGACGAGGCTCTAAAGAAAGCTGTCTCGGGTGTGGACCAATCAATTTCAAGGACAGTGCCACATACATTATCAGAGTTGTTGTTTTTTGTTTGCGTTCCGACTGCAGGTATTGTGGTCAATGTAAACATGACTCCTTGTAAAAAAGGTGTCAGTTTTGTTGCCAGATAAAAGGGTAAAAAAAACAATTATCATTGAGAAGTTAATTAATCGCAATGCATAGTGCTTAAAGAGACTACAAAAGAGCACAATTTTGTATCTCCTGCCTTCTATTCTGAGTGCTCTTTTCGCTGCTTTTGGAAAGGAAAACGAGAATTGCATTTGTTTAGTCGATAGCCATCACAGGCCATGTTATACTTGCTGCTGAACGAGGCCTCCCCACGTCATCTCCATCTCTCGTGACCCTGCTATGTCGTAATCCATCTCCTGCACATGATCAAAACGGGCCCTCTATGACCAGGCGGGTGGTGGGGGGGGGCTTTCATCTGGCAGTGTAACGACATAACATAACAGCACGTTTGTTTAACGTTGTGACGCGCAAGAATTAAAACCTGACCGGTGGAATTCCCCAGGCGCGGGAGGGCATGTCGTGCTACTATCTGACGCAAGGCTGGGCGGGTCTCATCGTGGTGGTGGAAAATCGACACCCTGACCGCTACCTGCAGGTCGTGTGCGACTGCTCCGACAGCTTCAACGTTGTGTCCACCCGCGGGGGGCTCAAGACGGCCGACAGCGTGCCTCCGCTCAACCGGTACGCACGCACGTCTCCTTTGACGAGCTCTTCGTTCGGTCATCATTCAGGGATTGTTAAAGATCATCGCATCGTGCTGGGTGCTGTGCAGGAGTGGAGACCCCAAGAGAGGAAGATCTACGGGTCGGATGGGTGGTGCGTGACGTGGTGGAAAGAAGTTTGCGTGATATGACGAGGGTGTGATTGGCGGCAACAACACCGGCACCAGTGATATTCTGACCTTCATTTGCTACGGTCGCCGCTGCTGGAGTTTATGATAACCGACATTTTACGAACTTTGTGAGCACTCCCGAATGGCCTTTTTTTAAAATCTCCATTTCAAATCAGTATGGGCGGGAGGTCACTGACGATGTCCACTGCTTGTTCACCAACAGGCAGGTGCTGCTGATCCTGTCTCAGCTGGAGGCGAACAGCGGCTTCTCGGTCACGCACCGACTACAACATCGTAAAGCCGGATCGCCGGGTCTCGGGGATTGGGGTCCCCGGGGCCACAACCACGAACCTCAGTTGGGACCCGGTCTGGGGTTACACTCCCCCCGGCCTCTGTAGCGCCACGCTGGGCGACACCGCAGACTGGTTGTCCCTCGCAAAAGGGGCTACATCCGCTGCAGATTGTCGCGTGATTTATTGCTGCTCTCCTTCGTATCCTCATGGGAATGACTTGATAAATATCTGACTCCCCCTCCTACGTGTGTGTTCCTGCTAAACGTCGGCAGAATGGCAATCCTCAGTAGTCGTAACACCAAATACCACTTTACAGGCAACCCCCACTAACTTGTGTGTGTCCAAGAGGCATTACAAGTGTTATGGTATTTATTGGTGCTGCTGTCTCGAAGAGACGGCGTGTTCGTATTTGAAAAAGGCAGTCACTGGAAAGTAATTCTAATTACATTACCTGAATATTGCAGTGAAATGCATCTCAGCGTTTTGTGTGTATATATAATGTAATTACATTTTTGAGAGATTCTATTTAACTTTGAATGATGTGCATCCATTTACTGTATTTGAAAATGCTTTTTTAAAAACAGCATTTTCATCTATTCCAACTACCTATCACGATATGTCCTTTTTTGTGGGGGGGGGGGGGGGATGGGGTTTCTGAGCTTGAAACATTTTAGCTTGGCTTCGAATCAATAGGGAATCCACGTGTCCATTGTATTACCATGTTTTTTTGTCATGTGTAGGTACAATAGACTTGATTCTCAATGTAGCATTTTCGTTGTAATGGGAGTGCTGTCGGTGATTACACGTTTCCATGTCCCCACAGGTTCTGAAACGGCTGTATTTACCCGAGTAACAACTGGGCTTTAATATTTGCGAGACGGCACAAGGCGTAATTCGACGCGCAGTTGGCTGAAAAATTCAAAAAAATCACGAGGACGGCCTTGTGTTGCTGTGCTGAATTTATATTCTTGGCAGAAGCTGTCGGAATAGACTCAATATTAACGGATGAAAATTATACATACTAATTTTAAACGTTTAGGAAAGTAATGAGCACCTCCTTTATCCAGGAAGCAAATAGTCCAACACATTTGTCAATAACACTTGACGTAAAAGGCGAGCATTATGTGATGGATGACGTTTTGTGGTCAATGGCCCACCTTGATAGCAGACACACTGCAGAGTAAAAAAACATGTCTTCGTTATAGTTGACACAGGGAAGGCTGCATTTTGAGCCTAGATTTTCATGATGAGCCCGTATTGAAATGTTGGGCCACTTTGAGAGTATTTTGAAAGTGGCCGAACTCAAAACATCCATTGAAAATTTACACATGCAAGGGGATTAATGCTTAAATAGTCGTACAAATGTGTCAGGCAACCACCTTGATTTTACTGTCATATACCAGTCATCTCACAGCCCTGCAGCCTGGGAGTCTCTGTGCACATGAGCATTTCTGTGTGACTCATCAACCCCGCCCTACAGCTTCTGCATTTCAAAACGTTTACGCACACACGCGCAAAACACTGGGACATTCGCATGTTTATTTATTATGTTTTACTTTGAACAAATCGCCCGAAATGTGCCCGTTCTCGTCAGATGTAAGCGAAGCAGGGTTGAGCCTGGATAGTGCCTTGTATTGGTGAGCGCATCACTCACAGCATGTCGTAACCAATGTGCCCACATCTATACTTCAACCCGCTTTGGTCCGCACGATGAAGTGTGGTCGAACAAACCCCCACAACCCACAGAATGGGGAGGCCCTCATCCAGCAGTGGATTAAACGAATGGGTTCATGTAGATATTTTGGAGTTCTGGAATCAAATGAAATGCGATAATGCAACTTCAATAGCGATGTTACAAAGAGGAAATTATGCAAAAGGCTCCCAAATTATCCCATAAATATACTTTTGCTCTGAGACGTTGGTTCACCCCTTGTAAACGTGTGTTTTGAAGTTGATCGTATTTGCTTCTCAGTTTTTGGAGTCTATGTAATGTTGTAAATCTCACAATGATATTTTATCTTAGATTTCACCACTCTGTCCCATTGTCAACCACATTCCCTCTCACTTTGCAGATAATATCCGACTGGGAGCCTCGTGTAATTGGCAACCAATTTCCCCTCATGTGCTTCACTTTTCAACGCTCGGTTGTGTATAGATGTGAGGCTGGGCTTACACTGTACAAGTGGTGAATCAGTAATTTGGTTCTGTGTTGCATCTCGTCCATGGACACTTGATCTCGGTGTAGCTGTGTATCCATTCGTATTGTTGTCAATGTACACAGGGGTATGCTCTGCGTGGTGTGTACAGTTATTGTGTTACAAAGGATAATCAAGGGGTGGTTATCACACAACTAGCTGTCCATTTGAAAATGTGCTACATTGAGAATCAAGCACAGTGGCTGGTGGGATAAGTGATATTTTAGTTTTGATACGGTGTTGCTAATTATTTTGGTAATTGTACCTTGTTTTTGCTCTTGTCGTTTTGGTGAGCCAGAAAGATGACGGCTTGCGAAGGAGAAACTGTGTCCTGGTATCTTGAGTTCTTATCCGGTGAAGCAACGTAAACTTGAATAATGTAACATCTCAAATCATTGCTCGCTCGTGCAGTGTCCCTGTAGAGCGGTGGTTCTTAACCTGGGAGGGTGTGCGAGACATGGCCAGATGGTTTTTAGAAGGTATGTACTGCTTTGTTTCATCAACCCCAATGTGTTTATTAACGTACATTTTATTTAGCGCTTGGGAAACCAACGGGGTACAAGGCTCCAGTAGAGGCGAAGAACCACCGGCGTTATAGTTTGGGGGTGGCTGCCAACGAGAGAGCCTGCCGCATAAGCGGTTGCAAAGCGGTGGCAAGACGGCCGTTGTTTTCATTCGTATTCAATGTGAAGGTAAAAGGGAAAAAGAGAGGAGTGAAATCAGGTGCTCTGGACACTTTGGAATATATTTACGGGTGAGGTCAAGTTTGCGAGGTAATAAATCGGCATTTCCCAGCCTGTCGGTACAGCAATAGTGCTAAGTTGTAAGTTCGAAAATTATCCTGTTTGCTGGGGATTTTCCCCTCTTTGGCGTTGGAAGACTTAAAACGTTATGCTTTCATGTGAAACAGATTAATCTCATCGGCGATGATGATATAACTACCAGCCTCTTCAGACTTTTTTTCTTTAAGGCGTGCGGTTTTTGTTTAAATCTCTCGAACGCATTCAGCGTGTACATTCCTACGTTTGCGATTCGTTCGTGTTTCCCGAATCTGTCGGCTTCGTCTCTGTGACGTCAGCGGGTGTCGAAGAGCGTGGGGCTCACGGACGATCGTTGGGGGAGCCCCCGTGTCCGTTAAATGTCACGGCATCTGAATTCCCGTGCGTCGTGCGGCGTCCACGCGCGTTGTTGCAGGAGCGCCAAGTGACGTGACGAAAATCCGCCTCCCATGAGCAGTCCGGCAGCGTGTTAGTTGGCCTCAATAGGAACGGGAAGATTTTTTTAACTGCACCTCGGCATGTGTTGCAAGGTCTTGCTCTCTCAATGTTTTGATCCCATCATGCTGTAGCTCTTCACGCCAGTCACTTAAGCGACTTGATGAGAAGCGGGCCTTCGACGTGGAGCCTGAAACTGTGTTGAGCTGAATTTCGGAGTTTCTCCCATCATCCGCGAAGCTGGGGGGAAAGTACCCGAATAAATGTTACTGGTAAGCCACTTTCATCAGAATTGATTTGTTGAATGGGTAATTTTGTTCGCTGTTGATACAAGTTTGGAGCAGCAGTGCTTGTGAGGGTGGTTCAAGGTTAACCTGCACTTTTGTATAAAACGTGAAGCGAATGAAACTCTTGTCCGCGACGTTCCCCTGTTACACGTACACGTTGTACCTTCAGTGGTGTAATGCCTCGATGCCAAAATAGCATAAGTCTCTCGGATATATGTGTACGCATCGTTTAGAGCATCGTACGTGCCTCCCATCGCTTTTAACGACCCATAATGTAAAACAGGGTTTCAGTACTCGCGTTCAAGCTGGTGTTCATCGTTGGCTCCGAATCAACACAATTGAACAGCCAACCGTATCGATTCGGAGCGTGTCGGGGACCAGCGTATGATTTGAGTTGTACACACATTCTTATTCTTTGGGTCTTTCGGTAAAATCACGTAGATGGGTTCAAAGAAAATAAAAAGCTACGACGTTTCGATCAAGCGTTCGTCATGCTGATGTCGGGATCGAAATGTCGAAGTTTTTTGTTATGTTCTTTGAACCTATCTACGTGTCTTTACCGAAAGACCCAAAGAATATTAATTCCAGCAGTCGTGAAAGCTTTAAGTTAAGAGTTGTACATGCACGTTTTGCGCGAGTTGCCTATCGCCAAACTACAAACTTAATTTGGTTTTGACATTTATCTTCGCCAGAAACTCGATTGCCACGATGCTTATCACGCAGCAGCACATCGCGTCGCATTCCTGTGTTGTAAATACCCAGACTGCTTTGCGCAATTGACACAAAACATGTTTCCCAGCTGTTGCACACCACTGCTCACGTGACATTTCTGCTGCGACGTTACTCGGCGACGTCATCCACGGCAGGAGTGGGGGTTGTGCAGATTGAGCTTTTGAACTGGATTTGGAGGTGGCTTTTGCACGAACGTGGTTACTGCTTGTGAGAGCTTAGACAATGCATTGTCTGCTTATGATGCACATAGGGAAATGCTTCGCGGGAGGGGTGCGGTTTTTTTTATTGTGGCTGTTGGGTTCATCTGTCCAAAATAATTGTTGCACCAGCTTTTAACAACCCAACGTAGTGCCACTTAATTTAATGTGTGTTGCACATTGTTTATTGTGTCCAAGGGTATTTTGATAATTAACATTTATACGATGCTATATGTAATAAGAGGGCTCCAGATTAAAATGTTCTAAGGAGCTGGACTAAATTTCGCGAAACTATTACCGTAATCAAACAATTACCTTCTGTTAACTGACAATCGGATAATATCTGAAGCTGTGACAGACTTTTGTTATCTTTTTTCATCCATTACAATGGCTCATGGTTCAGTGACCATCAGTTGTGACGAACCTCTGGTTGCTTAGGTTCGATTCCCAACCACGGGAGAGAAAAAGAATCAATGGTGAGCGATTCCTGGGGGTCCCACCATCTTCAGCCTGCACTGACCAGCGTGGTGAAGTATGGTCAACCTCCACATGGTGGTGGGTAGGCTCTCAATCCAGCAGTGGATTGCCAAAGGGCTGTGAATTACCTTTATTATTATTCGTGGTGCATGGCATGGGTTACACGTGTTGGTGTACTGTTAATTGTGGGAAAGCAAGTGCCCAGTTGATTTGTATTTAACTGTTTTGGTTTTATATATATTTTTTGTTATACAACCTCTGTCAAACTACTGTTTAAAGAGCTCGAGCACTAGATTTTTCTAAAGGTTTTTAGGGTGCTGCCGGTTATTATACCATCATGCGATAAGCTGCGCGGACGGGTTGAACAATGTCACTTTCCCAATGTGAATCTGCCGTAGAATTGCAATGACGCTTGTAAAGAAATACTGGTAAAGCATTGTATTTTTATAAATGCCATAATGCAGATAACGTCACTATGCATAACCTTTCCCAGTGATACAGTTCTACGCTAGGTATAATGTACGTGTGTGTGTGTTGTCGCTGCAAGTTTACTCGTGCATGGGGTAACTTGGCTTCGTCGTCTCTTTGCGCCATGTGTTGGTGAGCCGTTAAACAGCTGAAAAGTGTAAAACTTTTCCTCGTTACTTGTTGTCATGCCATTCATTTGAGTTGTTTAGGCTGCTACTGCTGCTATTGCGGCACAGAGAATCTAAAGCAAACAGAAAATCCAGCATCACGCTGTCACGGTTACGGTAGCAGTGCGTCCATTGACATCATGGATGCATGTGGTAGACGTGAACTCTGAAACCACAATAATCATAGGACATAATTATTTAACAAAAATATTTTGGAAACCTTTAAAATAAATATATACAGTAAGTTTTGTTTTCCCCTCGGAGATCAGAAGTGTAATACTATTGCAGCTGGCTTCTTGATAAAAAAAACCCCAGCCAGATGAGTCCCACGTATGCAAAACGGTTCACAGTTTTAGTTTTGTCACGCTTCTAACCGCACGTGTCCAGGAACAGTGTTGATGCGTACAGTGAGTGCACACGCGATGTCAGATTGAGAAGCCCCTTGCACGAGACGTGTCAATGCCAGTGAGTGGCCACACTTCGCGTGTGGGGGGGGGCCCGCTCGCGTTGGGCTTGCGTGCCCCCCACACCGCCGATGAGCAACTCCAGTGAGGCGACTGGTGGTGTCAGTGCCGGATTAAGCTAGTGCGGGGCCTGTAGCATATGTTATAAAGGGGCCCTAAACATTTTTTTAAAATTTTTTTTAACTTGCATAGTAAAGTAATTGTATTTTTTCATTCGCTATACGGCCAGATAATACGACAAATCGCTAACCTTAAACACTAAGTCGTCGTCCATAAAAGTTGAAGGCGGCATAGTACTATAGTAATAGAGCAAGTGCAGAATCACTGAACCGGAATTGATAGCTTGAAAGCATTTAGCGCGGGGCCCTTGAAAGTGCGGGGCCCGTAGCATGTGTAGCTACTACACACACGTGTGTAGTAGCTGGACACGTGTGTAGTAGCTGCACACGTGTGTAGTAGCTACTACACACGTGTGTAGCTACTACACATGTGTAGCTACTATTTGTGCTACTAGGAGAATCGGGCACTGGGTGGCGTTTACCCAATCTGACATTGCCCACCATTCCCTGCGAACGATTAATGATTATTGGTGCTGCATCAACAGCATGAACCCTACCCCACCAGCTAAACTCCAAATGTCGATACTGTGTGTTTTTAGCCCATCAGTCGATTGTCTCGCCAGACCAATATTATTCGGCAGCATTAGTTTAAGCGAGCACACCGCTTGTTTGCGTTATCCTCCAGTGTATTTAAGGCTCTGGTGACATCACGTGGCCCAATTTCGCAAAAATTTCCACGTCTTTCGGGAACGGTAAAACATTTTCAAAGTAACTGCTTTTATTGCACGTGCTGACAGAGGCGTGAAATATGAGACTCGTCAGGTGATTATTCCCGCATCATGTAATGTAACATTGAATTAACAAAACGCCCCACTTGAAGTTATTTGTTAAAGAAATGCGAACCTTGAAAACGAACATTCTTAGTCTGAAAAGTGGTGAAGCAACATTACAAAACGGGGAAAAAAACAGGAACCAGACGTTGCCAAACAATAACCACAGAATGTGACTTTAAATTTTTTTTGTTTCCATGAAATGTTACGGCCTAATATGGTTTATCCAGCAAATACAGCACTTTTGTATAAAAACCTATCCAGTAAAACGGTTGTCTCAAACACGAGTCGGCATGGTTGTATTTTCAGTTATGATTTTTACTACCAAAATGAGGCAAATATGTCGAACGAATCATTGATTACAACTCGCATTGTCCCTCTCCTCTGTCACCTTGGCCCTACATTCAACACGCATTGTTACTACTACTACATGGAGTCTCGTCTTTTAGTATTATACCGATAATCATCGACTGCTGTTATGCAATAACACAATCTTAAGGCGTCATTTCAAACGTTAACAACGTTTATCACGTGCGCACAAACCAAACGCTAGTGGGGTGGGAAAGTGAAGAGCATACAAATGCTGATAAAGCTTGGACAATCAACAATTTTTCTTGTGGAGGTGGGTGGATGGGTGGGCCCAACACACGGGCTTTAATAATGTTGATAACGTTCATATGTCCTTTCGGTGAACTGCGGTTAAATCGACATTTTAGAACATGGCTCGCTTAGAAATTTGACTCTGTTCTGATAATATAATTTTTGCCATCTGTTACCATTTGCAACAATTTTTTTTGGCCATGCAGCGAATGAAACTTGGCCGTTCTCGATGGGTTTTAGCTCATGTCGTGCTGCGTGCTTGGATAGGATATCTTACGCGATTTATCTCACTGGAGCAGCCAGGAGCATATGTCGCAACATATAGAAATACAATTCATCATAACTTCCCGTGATCATCAACTTACAATCTGGCCTTCCGGCCTTACGTTATCAAGCACTAAAATGCTGAAACGCTTTTTTTGTAATATGGAAAAACAAACGGAAATGCATTTAAATGTTATTACCCCCATTGCTTCAATAAAGTTAATGCATTTTTTAATAGCCAATACAACATTCATTTTGCTTGGGAGGACGTTGCAAACTCATTAGCACCGCGTTTGCTTCGTTCTGTCGTACGCACAGTAGAAAAGCGACCGGGCTTACTCATTTGGGGCAGCTGATCTTTGGCGCAGCTGCTTCGTCGTTTCGTGATGAGAGGTGCCATTGTTAACTCGCGCAGAAGCCGCAGCCGTCCCGTTGGGAGAGAGTGTGCACATGGTGCCACTTTCAATATGTTGCTTGTTGTATGTCTGAAAAAGTTTAAAGACATGCCTTATGTAAAATGTATGAGAGAAAAGACAAAAGAGTATAGGAGTGTTAATGAAATTATTGCAATGAATGTTTTTTTTTTAAGTCTGTGAGAAAATATGGTGATGGTGTACATTTTCTGTAAAGAGAGAAGATCATTGTCTATTCCAAACATATTGCCTGTAAATGTAAGTCTGTAAAGGTGAAACGCAAATAAAACTTTCCTATTGACACACGTGCTTGGAATCGCCTGCGTGGAACAAACACCGAGACAGATATTGCATCGAGAGACAGCTAAGGTCACGTCCGAGACGAGGTTGTCAGCCGAAGAGATGGAGTAACAAGATCAGCTGGTGTGCAGGCGCTACATATGGATTGTTACATCGCAAGGCCGTGAATGATTGGGGATTTTTGTGGATGACCTTCATCCAGCAGTGGATGATGGATTGACAAACTATGTGCGGAGTTTAATTAGCCTGGGTCTGCAAGAGCGGATCAATCCCACTCTTGATTCTAATTGCCATGGCTTCCACTACGTTCTGCCCCAGTTTTGGTGTTTTTGCAACTTCGTAGCGCCAACAAAATAATCGCCCTTGTTACTGGAACGTGGTTGTGCACACTACAGTAGTAAGACAAATAACACATTCATCAATAACTCTGCTTTTACAACAATAAAAACACGTGACTTTTCGACCGATGGTTTTTCATCGCGCACACTTTAAAAGAAATATTGAAACAAAAATTATTTACGGATGAAAATGTACTGCAGTATAATAATTGTCAGCCCCGTCTCAATTCAAGGGGTGTATCAGTCATGGGAGTTATTTAGACATACTTCGGTGAAAGGATGTGGCCCAGGACCAGCTGAGATCACTTCTGATTGATGTCAGCCGTGCCTGGGAATCGAACTGATGTTTCAAGATTCAGTGCAATATACTCGTCATTGGCTCGGTTAATAGAGTGGCGCGTTTGTAAGTATACCAACAATAACCCACTGGACTACCGTTGGCTATGGAAATAGCCGTTCCCAAAACATAAAGAACCAACATTGGCATGCGGTGTAAACCATTTCAGTGAATGCTGGGTTCGGTAAGACCTCGACAGTCATGAAACACATTCTGTTTTTAGATCTTAGAGGGATAAAACATAACGTAGAATAGAGCCTTGGAGATCAATAACAAAGTCGACATTTCTGCACGTTTTGGAAAGATGTTTTTTCTGCTTTGATAGGGGGAAAAAATACAAAGTACTCATTTCAGTTTCATTTATTTGGTATAGCCCTGTGAGCCATTCGGCTCTTAAATCGGGTGCAACCACAACAAACTAAAAACACGAACATGAACAAGAAAACATCTTAAAGTGACTGTGACTTTGTGCAAACAGAAAATCCAAGAAAAGACAGCAAAATATTCCAGAAAAAGGCACCGTACACCAACGCTGTGTGCAAAAATTTTAGTGGGATGCAAGTCAAACAACAACAACCACAAGACAACTAAGATTAAAGCCATCAGTCTAACTCCGTACTACAACAAACATGGCCAAACCAAAAAACGTTTTAGAAATCACCAAAATAAAGCCATAAAAGCAATGTAACAGTGATAATAGGATAACAGTACAGTATATATTATTAAATAACTATAAGACAGCAG